CAAACATTTAGTCCCAATACATTGAACTAAGCAAAAGGGACTGTTGTTATTATTGTTCAAATGGAATATCGTAATAAACCTCATATCTATAACTAATTTAGATTAAAGTTATATCTATATCTAATATAGTTAAAAGTTAATGTAAAAGCATAGCACCAGTATTGTATAGCATACTTCTAAGGCTGCATGATTTGTGGTGAAATTCGCCTGTAGGGGCCTTCTTTCAAACAGGCTAAAAGTATGCAACACATCTTTCCACTTATTGTATTTATATTCAAACAATTATTGTAATGCTGATCCCGACTATAAATGGCTTTAACTTTCTTTAGGATTAGCTAACCAGCATGGAATGTTGCCAGTTTAAAGAGCATATAAAGACTCAATATATTTTAAATTAGTAGATAATTAAATATTTCATTAAAAATTTGGATCAGTATTCATCATAATATTTCAACAGAATGCGAAAGCCAAGAAGTCAAATTATTTAATATGTATGTATGTATTTCTTTAGAATATTTTTATTGTATAATACAATAAATTACTGATGCTCTTTTATATCCCAGATAAGTAGTTGCTTCTACAACTAATACCAGTATACATATATTAGGCTTATCAGTTGAAAGCTCTTTCTTTTCTCATGCGCACAGAAAGATGGTCCAATTCTCTTTATTAGCCAGCTGACCTCTTCCGAAATAAACGTTTTAGATGTGGCTTAAAATGTTGAAACCATCTTCATAATCCCTATATTAAAACGGCTTAAATGAATGCGTTATATTTTTTTTGCACACGTCGAGAACAATTTAATATAACTTTTTAAATATGGCCAACAACTAAACCATCACTTCTAGGTTAACAGGTAAAATAAAAAATTAGATCAATGTAGAAATTGACTTTTCCCAAATCAGAAAACAACTTTACAATTTACATTGAATGAATTCGTCTACAATATCATCTATCGTTACCTTTTAGACATAGAATAGTTTAGAAATAGTTCATTCATTTGTAGCCCTCCATTGGCAAAACTTATAAGAAGTTGGTTTTATTATTTCAATTTTAATAAAAAATAAAAAGTATTGTATAAAAGAGTTAAAGGTAATAATATTAACTTCATTTGCATATGACAGCACAAAGAGCAAATGAGCTTAGTTGTACTAGGTCTCGATAATAAAAAGATTGTCAACATGTTCAACAATTACACTGAACTTATTCTGCTCTTTGGAGTTTTTGTCGTAAGTATTACATATATAAGAAGGTGAAGAGCAACGATTAAGAAAGTCAAGAACCCTTCATATTATCCTTTTACATGTTTACCAGAGAACGTTGCTTTTACTTAATTGTGCAGAACGGTAAGAGATATTGGTACAATATCTACGCGAGCAGTGTCGTAAATGGGGCTCTGAATTGGTTACTTCCGAGAATGTTGCTGAATACGATACGGGTGTGCAATATCTGAATCAGAACTATCAACGCACATAATAAACTGATAACAAAAACTACACAAAAGAAATGTTTTTATTTAACTTCTAAGCTTCACTTAGACATTGCCGAATCAAATTTATTTGAAATGAAACTCTCAATTCTTTTAAAAACTCAAAATCCATAATCAAACATTTTTAGGTGAAAGCAAATTTTATATACAAAAAATAAATTTTATCCTTTTGAAAATAATTGCGTTAAAGAGACTGGCAAATAATTTGCATTGGTTTTTCAAGTTTGTCAGTTTTTGGCAGATTATGTGAAATAAATATGAAGGCAACAACACACAATAATCATAATTAATTCTTTTGTTGAGTTGTTTTTGGTAATAAAAAGAAAATATAACTGAACATTTTGGAATGAAAATAAAAGCTGTTCTTTATCTATGCGATTCTTAGTGTATTTTTAAATACTTTTTAAGCATACTTTTGAAAAACTACAAATTTGTGTGCAAATTGCTTGCAAATCGTTGATTGTTTCAGTTTCGACAATAAATAACAAAATTTATTGCAAAGCTTGAACGCTATAACCTGGAGCTCTATATAAAGGGTCTATTTAGACATGTCCGTGGCAAATACTTTTAATCCTCCGTTTTAAAACATCTCAAAATTTCATTTATTTCGCAGTCTTTAATCTGCTGCCAGGAATAAGAGAGGCTAGCTTGCATATAAACAGACACACAAACATGGCTACATCTATTTGTTTCCAAGTCCCCAAGGATTACATGGATTGTGCCTTCTGGTGTAGTATAAAAATCGATCTGTGCCATTATATAGTATTAGTTACCAGTTAGTAGCTGTCCTGTGTGTAGCCTGAGCCAATTCATAAACCTTTTCAAGATGTCCGTGAATTTACCTTAAAGAGAGTTTGTCCTTTTCTCCTATTGCTTGTTTTGTAATACTGATTATGACCATAAACATACCCTTCATCTATAAATCCCTGTACGATTGCATAAAACAACAAGGAGTGTTTAAAAATTTTACATTAATGAAGACGATCTTATTTATTCCCTTGTATCATTAAAATACAAATATTTCCATTTAAAAATGAGTGATGATGAAAGATGCGGTTATTGGTTTGTCTGCTTCGCAGATATATCCGTATAAAGCAGTGTTGCTGGCACAGGGGCTATCGTTCAGTTGGTAATTCGTCGAGTTGTAATTAACGTAGGCTATTAGTATGCAATGCTCGATTCCCAGGTAGTTGTCCGGCTGGTTTGTGGCCCATCTATTCAGGGTAATGGGTTCTGCATTGGTGAACCAATTGTGGGTGCCTGTTGTGGCTAGATCGTTGCCTGAGGTCCAGAATCGTGCCGTCCGTCCGTACTGCTGATCCAGATATGTCACAACCGCATCGTATTCGGTCGCATTCTCGAAGGTAACCAATTCGGAGCCCCATTTACGACACTGCTCGTAGGCGCTGTACCAATTTCTCCGTTCGTATGGCACAATTCTATAGTAGCCGTCGCCGATCTTGAGGAAGGGAGCAGTTGTTACGTCAGCTCCCTCTGGAATCCCTATGAACGGATATTAGTCAGGCTCTTGATTCGTCCCTATTCGTTACTCGCCTTCTCTTATGTATGGGGTTATTTTGTAAGCCATACTTATGGCCAAGACCCCAAAGATCAGTAGAACTCGAGTGTAGTTGTTGAACATTTTGATGCTGTTGTGATTGTGATGCGGTTCTTATGTTAGGCTGGCTCTTTTATATCCGAGATAGTTGTTTGTATAACTAATTTCTGTTAAGCTTATCAGTATAAAGCTCATTCTTCCCTCATGTGCAAAAAATGTGGACCTCATTGTCTTTATTAGCCCGCCGGCCTTTCCCGAAATTTACTTTTTAGGAGCAACCTTGTAGCAGCTTAGAAATGTATGCAAGGTGCAGAATACTCTTCATATGCGCTCTATTAAAACATTTGGAAGATACTAAATATATGTATACACGTATTTATATAATGTGAATTCTCGATAAGGTACAACAATTTGTACTTTGAATTTGTGATTCAAGCTCACAAAAATGAATTGAATTGGAAAATGGAAATACTTCTGAAAGGTTCTATATGCCTTTAATACATATATATGCCTTGTAATTATTTTAATATTTTAATTAATTTAATTTAATTTAATATAAAGCAATACAATGTATAAAAAATACATTTACGTTAAATCTGAATTACAACGCCAATATTTTTGGCTCATCTAATTCCTTTATGTAATGATTGAAAAAGTAAATATTTTGATTATTCAAGATCGCTAAAAATCCACAGCTATCATCAAACAATTTTAATAGCGGATTTATGAAGAGTTGTTTGCACTTTGCATTATTTCTTAAGCCGCCAGAAAGCTGTATCTCAAACGCTTATTTCGGAAAAGGTCAGCTGGCTAATAAACAGAATGGGGGTCTATATTTCTATGCGTTTGAGAGAAGAAAGAGCTTTCTACTGATAAGCCTAACATACAAGTAGATTAGTTGTACAAGCAACTATCTCGGATATAAAAGAGCAAACGTAACAATAGAACCGCATCACAATCACAACAGCATCAAAATGTTCAACAACCACACTCGAGTTCTACTGATCCTTGGAGTTTTGGCTACAAGTATGGCATATAACATAACCCCATACATAAGAGAAGGTGAGTGGCAACCCGACCATTGAGGACGAAAAATGAAAGCGTTCCTATGCTTTATAATATCCTTTCACAGGCATACCAGATGCCGCGGGCGTTACGACTGCTCCCTTTCTCAGGATCGGTCATGGTTACTATAGAATTGTGCAGAACGAGCAGAAAAATTGGTACAGCGCCTACGAACAGTGTCGGAAATGGGGCTCTGAGCTGGTTACTTTTGAGAATGTGACCGAGTTCGACACGGTTGTGCAATTTCTCAATCAGCAGTATGGACGCGCACAATTCTGGACCTCGGGCAACGATTTGGCCCAAACAGGCGCCCATAATTGGTTCACCAATGCACAACCCATAAATCTAGCCAGATGGGCACCAGGACAGCCGGACAATAGCCTAGGAATCGAGAATTGCGTACATATAGCCCATGTAAATACCAATTCGACAGATTACCAACTGATTGGTAGCCCCTGTGCCAATAGTACTGCTCTATATGGATATATTTGTGAAGCAGATCAACCAATCACAGCATCGTTTATTATCACAAATTTTTAATACTAGATACTAATTATTGCTATAAATAAAAATACTTGTGGAACAATTAGGAAATTTAACGCTTATTTTTTCGATAAAATTTCCGTTTTTGATTCACAAATAGTGAACCAATACTTCTACCTACTATGATTCCATTTAAGCTGTATGTTATAGTGGGAACTACAATATTTTGCACAATCTTAGACATAGGTGATAACAGATATGAACAATAATTGCTTGACTTTTCTATATTTACGAATGTACGTATCAATACGTATTTATCAATACAATACCAAAACAAATTCTGTGGAACTATGAGATAACAATCAATACGAAAAGACAAGAGGCCGAACAGTAGTGAATTGGATTTTGTAGAGTCAAGATGGCAATAGAGCGCAGAATGCTCGGAATATTTGTGTTGCTGCTCGCATGGGCGAATTCACAAAGCACACCAATTACACAGATGCGTAAGTGAAAGCTGTAACTACCTCCAAAAGTAAGCCTGTAATCGAATGACACTTGCAGCTCAAAACACGCTGCAAAACTTCACACAAATCGGCAGCAAACTCTACTATATCGAGCAGTCGTCGAAATCGAATTGGTTCTTGGCGGCCGATAAGTGTCGGCAACTCAATGGCACTTTGGCGAATTTGGTCGACGAAGAGGAATTGCTCGAGCTGAGCCGCAAACTCAATCCGTCAAGCAGCTATTGGCTAGGCGTTAACGATCTGGCCATCCAAGGTGTCTACACAGCCCAGGCTACTGGCTACGAGGCTGAGTTCTTAAACTGGGCTGCCGGGCAACCGGATAACATTGGCGGCAAGGAGCATTGTGTGGAATTATGGTACGACCTAAATGTATTCCGTATGAATGACGCTTCCTGTGAGATTCCATTTCTATTTATATGCGAGGGACACGAAAAAAGCAATATGTGTTAACGTAAAACAAATTTCAGAAAACACAGTTCTTGCTCAACTAAAGCTATGGGTAGAAAATTAGAATAACATTATATTCATAATCCGACAATTTATTGTACATACAAACTTTATCTGACCACGCCTTAGAAGTTTGAACGAAAACCGGCAACCATTTGAAACTTGAATAAATATTTTCTACTAATTTATATTCTTTTAAACTTATTTTGATGATTTCAAGAATCTTATGAAATGTCAAATAAAGAGTTTTTAATTTTTCTTCGGCTCAAGCAAATATTTACTCGCAAATTTAGTAACGTGATAATAAATTTAGTCATCAAAGTCTTGAACAATTTTGTGATTTCTTTTTTAATTTTGGCAAAGTTAAATATTTTTTGTTTTTTAAGATAATATCACGATTTTGAGGGTGATTATGATATGGTTTTCAGAAACAAGCATCAGTGAAGATATAAAATAGGTCCATATAAAGAAGAAGAAACCCATTTTACCAAACATAATTCTATAACTTATATTAATATATATGAAATATTATACTGAACATAAGTACTTGTAGTTAGTATTTATCCATTTAAATTGTAGATGCAGATACTTACAGCCCGGTTGAATGCCTTTGCTGAGCACAGTGCGATAGGGTTGTCGCGCACCCGGATCTATTTTACCATACATAGTTCTATCCATTGTAGCTGCCTTTTTAGAGATTTTATAGATTAACGAAAAATTCACTAAAAAGCTGCGTCAAAAAATCGATGAAAAATCTTCGGTATTGAGCTGAAAATCCTCGATTTTAAAGCTAAAACAATAAGTAACAACAATGCGTAACACATTTTATTGTGGATTAGTCTGTCCCCGTCGTTCATTTGAATTATTTATAAGCGCATTTTTATTTTCGGCCTTTTGGGCTGTTGACGCATTTGTCGTTTTTTGTTATTTCGTTTGGATTGAGGTTCGCCTGTCGCCGCCGCCATCGACGTCTGATGACAACGGCGGCCAAGGAACATCATCAGCATCGCATCGTCATCATGATGAGAGCTTTGTCCCAACTATAGACGCTAGACCATGGCCAACATGATTTAATGAAACAAATTTGTACCTGGGGAGAGTTTTATGTGATGCGCCACATTAGGCGCTGATTTTGATTGCCTGCGACTGAGCAGAGACCGAATGACAAATTATTATGAACATATGTATGTTATTATAATAAATAATACATATGTACTTATTCATAATTAGCGCTACTCAGAAGCATGCGAAAATGCTTAGGCACCATTGAGAATAATCAGCAGCACTTCCTAATAGACATTGTGAGGACCACCAGAGAAATTTTACTACAACCTTAACAAGATTCAGAAATTATTATTAAAATAATGGCACAAATTGTACATTGAGAATTGCAAAATTGTGTACATTTGTCAAATATTTCTAAAACGGTAAATTCTAAACGAAATGCCGGGCTAAATTTCATTTGAATTTATGCAACTTATTATATACATATTAGTGTAGTGATTGGTTCTTTTTAGCAATAGCATTACCACTTAATAAGCCAAAATATCCCTTTTTATACCCTGTACCCAAAGGATAAAAGGGTTCGTCCATGTGTCTGTCTGTATGAGCACAAGGATCTCAGCAAGTACAAGAGCTAGGATAACAAAACTCGGTATCGAGGTTCCCATAAGCCCTAGGCAGATCCAGTTTGTTGTTTTTTACTAATAAGTCCCTCCAATACCACTCAATTCGTGTTTTTCCATAACTCGCGTATTTTTTGGAATTTTTTACTCAGATAAATATCTCCAGTTAGTGATTATAAGTCCGTATGGCAAGTTTCATTACGATCGGTTAATTATAAAGAAAGTTAGCTCGTCTGTAGCGTTCTCTCTTGTTTATATTCTTCCCATCACACATGTACAAGTATAAAACTAAGAGATAAAGATAATGAAGAATAAAAAGAATAATACAAATCTATATATAAAAGCCAATCCGACCATTTCACCTCCCCCACTATTTTTAAAACACTTGAATAAGTAACATAATAGTATTCCGGCATACCCTGTTGTCGGAAGACGTTTACGAACACTATCCTTAATAAAAGGACTGTACTCACGCTCAAGATCTGCAACGAGTTTCAAAAGCTGTTCTCCGCTAAACTTGAAATGGCGATTAAAATCTGGCTCTCGAGATTCAAATGAATGACTTGAAATCAAACCATTTGTGTTTAACATAAATGAAACCTTAATGTATGCTCTTCTCCTACCCCGATTGCAAAACTGGTTGGCCAAATCTTTGAAGCAAATAGTAACAATAGTAGTAGCAATAGTAGTTGTGACACATTTAGGAAGTTGCTGCGGAAATGTGGCACAAGCCGTACTCCAAATAAAAGATAACCATTAAGATCTGTTTAACCAATATCAGCCAAATTAAGAAATGTTCAGCAACTTGCAATGCGTGTTTCGTAAAGTAGGTAAACCGTCCATTACCCTTCAATCGATAGATAATATTTTGCGCATTTAATGTGGAATTCAATGGAAGAACAATTATCGCAGTACATTTTCAATTAAACTCGTAAGATAATGATTCTTTCACTCGCGCTACTGTCTCCGCTATAAAAGAAGCGACACTGCACTGTAAATCAGTATTAAGAAAATGTTCAAGAGCTACGTTCGTGTTTTCCAGCTATTTGGCCTTTTGGCCATAAGTATGGCTTTTCAAGTAAATCCTTTTATTTCGACTGGTAAGTACTGCCCGACTGAAGAATAAAAGGAAGCTTCAACTTTCTTTTCGATCAGGCATACCCAGCAACTCCAAAATTGAAATAGGACCGTTTCAAAAAATCGGGGATGGTTATTATTATATTGAAAGTAATGATGCCACAAATTGGTATGAAGCCTACGAGAAATGTCGTCGCTTAGATGCCGACTTAATAACGTTTGAAACCGTGGCCGAGTGGGATGCCATTGTCAAATATTTAAACGATCGTGGCGATAAAAGGGAGTATTGGACGTCGGGCAACGATTTGGCCAATAAAGGCAAACACAATTGGTTTACAAATGCCAAACCGATTGATATTAACAAATGGGCAGGTGGACAACCCGACAATGACAAAGGCCGCGAGCATTGCATTCATTTGGGCTATGTCTATAAGACCTCAACCAAATACGAACTGAACGATCGTCCCTGTTCGAATCAGGACAATAACAGCCGTTTCCGCTACATTTGTGAAAAACCACAGCCAATATCTGCTTCCTTTATTCTGTGGTAATCCAATCAATCGAACCTTTTTACATTAATCAATGATTTCTGGAGCAACCTTCACTTTTCAATTCTATTAAGGTCTTTCCTTCTTTTGTTTTGAACTAAAAAGTATATTCCAAAAACTGTCTAAATAACTTTAACTGTCTTTAAAAATAAAATGAATAATATAATAAAAAAGATCAAAGGCTATGCTCCTATTTCTTTTAAATTCAAATACTTTCCGTATCAGGCCATTTTAATTTTCAGAAAGGTGCTGGAAAAAATCACATAAAAGCATATAGAATGAATAGTAAAGTGCGAATAACATAAATATAAAGCTGCAATATTTTTGATATACTATACATTTCACATTTGATTCTTTCATTTTTTATTGAGAATATTTCGAATATTTATTTATTTCGGTTTGGAAGGTCCACAAACCAATGAAGTCTCCTTTATTAGATCAAAAAGTAAATTATCAGGGGTGTTACAGAAATTTCAACAGATTTCAATTCGAAAAGATTTCATTTTTTTAACTTCCCCATTCATTCAGCTGTCAGCAACAGATTGCCAGCTCACGAAACTAAATCTGGCATATTTTTTCATATTAATTCTTATTTCTTGGTAGTTTTAGGTAATTAGCCACATAGCGGAAAATAGTATAAATAACTTCTTAGATAAAGCTTCCTAACAAATAGCAATATCTATCACAAGATTTAAATAAAATACATGTATTAACATTAATTAAAGTGAAACATATTGCGCCATCCAAATAAAATTAATTTGTTGGCCCATTTGTAATTAATTTTAATTTCATTAAAATATTTGTAAATAATTTTGATTTCTTTATAATTAATTTCAACATTTACTGAAATCACTAGAGAACTTGTGTGTCGTGTTTGTTCATCTGCCACGATTGCTCGGTTGGGTATGAAATTAGGGGGTCGTGCGTATTTATTGTGATAATATGCTACAGTGTGTTAAGAATATGCCAACTTCGAAAACTTTTTGTACTTACTAAAGCTTTTGTCTTTACAGCTTTCATAAAAAAAATTGAATTCAATGTTGAGAGTTTGACGTTTTGACACGTGTTTTGCAATGTATGCCCCGTTTGCTAAGCGTTTTGAGGTTATGTTGCTCTTTTAACACCCAAAAGGTCTAAAAATGCCTCATGTAGCAGCTGTAGAGTCTATAGGATAGACAGATAATTTTTTTCACAAGTGGGTGAAACGTTTTAAAGGCTCAAAAAAGTCGATGTTCTTCTAAATAATTTCTAAGGGCGAAAAATAGATTTCGGCCATATTTTCAAGGAATCTCTTCTTATCCTTGCATCAAGGACAAGGGAAAGGGCAAGCAAAAGGGATTTGATATATCTCTCGTGATTATTCAGGGCAAATAATGTGAAATGGCGAAGCACAATGAAAAACCAATGTTCCCTACCGACTGGAGGATTGACCATCACAGTTTCCGGTTGTCATTCCAATTGAAAATGTTTGGACATTTATAAGATCATAAGTTTCAGGGAAAACGGCTATTAGCTCTTCAGCAAGTTTTCCGTCAAGTTCGACTAATTTGGAATTCACTTCCAATCGAATATGCTGAAAATTTGGTCGAAATCATGCCTCTCAGATAGCATGGCATTGTATGAAAGCTATAGACGCTATTCGAGTCTTCCAAAAGAGCTAAAACAATCGTTCGACATGTTTTTAGACCGTGCAAATCACAGTATCGAGTCTAAAGAGCCTATGTTGAATAAAGAAAAATAATTTTGCCAACATTTTGTTTGTAGTTTTTTATTTTAAAAAGTCATATTTAATTTGGAATGCACCTTGTGTCGATTCTAAATAAGTATATGAAGCTAAGTTAAACCACCAATATACAACTCTATTTGTTTAAGAGAGTACGCTAAACTAACTCAAGTAAGTTACGTTTAGAATAGGCATTGCATATTTGCGCAAATGTTTTTGCTTTTAAGACAACCATTTACTGTGTTACTGAACTATATGCACGACTATAAAAAGAATTGCATTACAAGCTCACCCATGTAGTATTCGCTGATAAAATGTTAGAGAAATACGTTCACATTTTTCTGGTCTTTGGACTGTTAACTGTGGGTTTGGCATATAATACTACTCCAGAAATAATTGGTAAGTACACAGCAGTGATGTCTGATGATGAGCAAATGCCCAAATTTGTGCAATTCTACTTAGACTTACCAAATGACTTCCCGTGGCATTCCATCAACCAAATGAATCTTCTATGGCAAACAAGTTGGCACGAATCTTATAAGGGACAGCATTATGGAGTAATTGGAAACGAGTTTTTTATACAGATACTAGATACTCTTAAGTCTGCGAAGGCTAATCTAGTGACATGTGAGCCTAGAGAAATGATTTGGCTGAGACTGGTCCTTATCGTTTCTTCACAAATGATTAATCTACTCAAAATTCTAATTGGAAATGTATGCTATATATGGATATGGGCGTAAGATCATTTATTTAGACTTTAACTTCGCTGCATATTCGACACAGACCTTTTATTTTGTGTTATGTATTTTAAATTGTTCAAATAATGGGAGAAAACCAAGTTCTTAGATACTTTTGTTTGCGGTAGAAAGAAATCTATTTATGCCACACAGGTCTACAAGATGTGTGCGCCGGCATTTGTGTTTGGCAATCTAAATAAAAATGTCTTGGAATTCTATAGCGTTCTGTACGAACAATAATATGAATATACACTTGTTTAATTAAAAACAAAACATTTCTGATAAAGCTATAAAAGCTAGCGCTCAGTTTGTCACTTAGGCAGTACAGAACGAAATGTTAAAAAACTATATCCTACTTCTGCAAATAGTCTGTGGCTTGAGCTTAAGCTGGTCGGCTGAACAGATAACTCCATTTCTTATACAAGGTGAGTAAATGAGGATAACTCCTGACTATAATGCTGTACTAGACTAAAAGCCATACGTAAGGCATTCCAAATGAGGCCAACATAAGCACGGCTCCGTTCACCAAGATCGGCGACGGCTACTATTATATCGAGCAGAAGTTGCGCTTAAACTGGTACCAGGCCTACGAGTCCTGCCGTCTAATCGGAGCTGAACTAATCAGCTTTGAAACTGTCGAGGAGTGGGATGCTCTTGTGAACCAGCTCGGCGAACGGAAAAGCCGCAAAGATCGCTCGGAGTATTGGACTTCGGGCAACGATCTAGGCAAGGAGGGAAAACACAATTGGTTTAGAAATGCACAGCCAATCAGCATCAATAAATGGGCTCCCAATCAGCCCGACAACGCCGGTGGACGCGAGCATTGCGTACATCTGGGATATATTTATGGTCACTCGAAAACCTTAGAGCTGAACGATCGACCCTGCAATAGCAAAAATAGCTTGTTGAGTTACATTTGCGAGGCGTCCAAGCCCCAAACTGTTTCATTCATTTTCTGGCAATAAATGAGCATCGAGAATACCCGAGAATATTACAAATCTTATGAAATTTCATTGACCAATATGGGTGCTGGAAAAGTGTTCCTTTCTGCTAAGATTTTGCTTTTGGCTAAGGTGTTGCTTTTAGTTTGGGGGCCATCAAGTTTAAATAAAAGGGCAGCAGGATTTTTCGTCTTAATGTATATAAAAAGAAGAAGGACTACATCTTATAAGTAGTATATAGTATGATCCCGAATGATAAATGCATCAGGCACAAACCTTGCTTTGAACTATCACTTATCAAGGGTTTGCGAATGCCTAATGAATCGACTTTAATAACGCTACATACGTATGGGTTTTATTCTACAAGCACACGTCGTAAATATATATTTTCAATTCATGCAGAATATATATTTTCAATTCATGCAGAAAAGAAACTCTACATATAATAAGTATTTAATAAATTGTACGTTAGTGAGACACGTTTCTTTATATACATTGGCATATGGGGTGTATAAATAGTAGAAAGTCGCTATTTTCAATTGGGGAAATCAAAAGAGTACGATTAAAAATATTTAAAAGCAGCCTATAAAATATCTTAATTGGCATCTATAAATATATTTTGAAATGTCGGCTGCATTATAATATTTTCTTTCAGTTGAATATGTCAAATTTAGAGCCAAGTTTTTATTTTCCTTATAATCCAAAGAGATCTGCAGCTCAGGCACGAAGAATAATTATTGTAACTGGTAGTGTAACTTCAATAAGTAGAAGATTGTTTTAGAAATAGGTAAGGCTGTGTTGTTTAGTAATAGCTTAAAAAAGCTGCTGAAACTATAAGAGGACTTTTTTTTCGACTTTTTTTCTTTCGAACGATAAAGCACTAAGCCATTTTCGAAAAATATTTAGAAACATGACTGGTATGTCCTATCCCTGCCCTTGCATTTCTCAGAATGCTGCAACAACTATGAAACGAGAATACTCTTCATAATTCTTTAAATAATGATTTTAAAAAAATTACCGGCGACTTTCTATTCGTACACCTAATATATTGTATTTATTTCTGAATTAATATTCTGGCAATATGATTTCAAAAAATAGAGTAACAAAAACAACAACTAGTCAACTGTGTCTGCGACCATATCTGCAAAATTGGATTTACTTGTATGACTAATATTGTTATTATCAATGATGCTGGATTTCAAATAATGTCACATATTTGAAAGAAGGTCATTTTCCTAGTGCATCGTTTTTTCCAGTTTTGAAATTGTCGAATGATTTGCACGATCGACCTATTTACGAACTACTATTTACTGAGAAAAGCAAAAAGACAGACACTGAAAAATTGAAACGTAGTTCCGAAGAACCTGTTTGGATGATATAAATAAAATATATTTAGGAATCATAATATAAATAAACTCGTTGTTTTAAAGTTGCAAATAATAAAAGCAAACTACATCCGTTAAATCTTGAAGCTTTCGGTATATACCGATAAGACGATGTTTGACAAACTGACCCAAGACCTTTGTTGTTATCTCGTGTGATTATTTTTTTAAGTCCAACATCTGCAATCTTCTTATCAACATTTGATGAAGCAGAGGAGGAAAAAAAATATAATGAGAAAGCTACTTGTAATTACGCCTTTACTCGAGGTGTTTAAAGTTTTGTTGTTTATTATTATATTAATTTATATTTGAAATAGAGAAAGTTATACTAGAAGTACAAATGACTAACAAATTTCCATTTAAAATGAAATTGAAATTTTAAAATAAAATTCTCTAAAACAAATTCATTATATTATATATTGGCTCTTTACCGCTCATAAATTTGATTTGAATTTTCTGATCAAAGAAATTGATTTATTTTGTTTAAAAAATGTAAACCACAATATTGTTGAATCGATAGATCAGCAAGATCATCTACATAATAGATAAAAACAATTGAATTGGTTAATTTCCCAATTGAATCGGTCTTTAGCACGGTCAATCGTACGGATTCGATTACAAACCAACATGTAATCGATTTATATTGATTACTCTGATCGGTGCCGGAAGTCCAGTAGCTAGTAGTGTCGTCCCGCTCTATTTCATAGTAAGCATTTCTGATCATTCTCGATTGAAATCAATTGAGCAGTCAGCTGCCGGCATTTCAGAAAGGCCGCCACCAATTAAAAATTCTCACATATAAATAAAAAAGACCATTATAAATAAATAAATAATACAATTGTCTAACAATTTTTTATAATTCTGGACTGTTAGTTAAACCTGCAAATATGGAACAACCTTAATCGCTTATAGAACTTATGAACTTTTTAAGATTTGCACTCTAGCAAGTCAATAGAAAATTGTGGAAATTTTTCATAGAAAATGCAATTGGCTGCTAAGTATTTATATTGGAAAATGTGTGCACAATAGCCGGTGGGTATTTATAGCAGCTTACAAGTTGATAAGAAGACTCTTATCTGTTGGATTTTACACATTAAAAGCCGCATCTCTGTAGCGAGCGAACAAGCGATTAGCAAACAGAAATAGACAAAGATCGTGGCAGAGATCAGCGCGAGATCATTAAGCCAAAATGCAGTCGGTAATCAATTGTTAAACAAGCTGAGTGGGAGAGAATTGGTTTTTGGAAAAACAATGTTTCCAAATAAAATGAATGAAACATGAAACTTATCAAATTTACGAGCCCCACACATCTCAAATGCCCGTGGAAACAAACTGATCTCGTCCAAAGGTCCATAAACGCAAATTTATGAACCATAAAAATACCAAAAGCGACAGGCATATAACAACTATATTTCGTTATTTGTTTAAACAAAAACACGACATATGGAAAAAGTAAATAAATATAAACATAAATTAGAGACTGAAAAAAAAACAGCGAGCATTTTAAATGAAAACCAAAAGTTAAACAGTGTGTGGCACACGATTTTATGGGAATCAAGGTTGCCAAATTACGTCAACACTCACTGATCGAGAACTAAAAATAATCGCAAATCAAAGGCGACGTTTTTGTCTGTTGACGCGTCGGGACGGCAACTTCGACAAACTAACGAGCTAAAGGTGGCGGGGAAAATTAATTGAAAATACAGCAACGTTTCCGCAGCCCATTGCCAAAAAGTAGCAACAGAAGCAATGCCACATTTTCCAGTTTTCATTATACCCTGCAAGCGATGGGTGAATTGGAATACGAAGAAGTTCCAAAAGTGTGCAACAGACAATCAGAGGCGCCGTGAGCGACAGTTGCTGGCTATTATAAAAGCTCATCTGTTTGTCTGTCTGTATGAACATCGATAACTTTTGCATTATAACATCTGAGGATACCAAACTGGGCATGTCGACTTGTCTAATCTATGTGCGAATCAAGTTTATTACAAACCATATATGGTCTCATTATTTTAAATAGCTGCCATAGGAACGATCAGTGTAAGATGATCGGTGAAGAACCAAAGAAATATTTGTTTATGGCAATTTCATAACAACATTTCAAAGATACATTAATTGCCCATAGCACCCTCTCCCTCCCTTTTTTCTAATATTTCATTGATGCACAATTCCATATACTTAGTAACCATTGGTAGCAAAACCTTGTGTGTTTATTATGGTATTTGAAACGAAATTGGTTGCTTTAAAAAAGTATCACTATAATCTCAAGAAAGTTTCCATACTCTCTATTATATAGTACACGTACATCTACCGTACATTCGGTACAAAGAAGAGTCTTAGAAAGAATGAATCTACAATTTGATCAAAATCAGTTAATTATAATCGCTACAATTAGTAAGACAACAGTCTTCTTTGTAAGGAGAATGCAAAGAATTTTTGTACCTATACGTTTTATATAACGCCTAATTAATTTCTCATGTTCGATTAAAATTATTATTATTATTAAATTATTAATTATTAGGAATATGGGTGAAACAACTACTTTATGTAGAAAATGAATGAATGAAATGAAGTTTCATTTAAATCGGTTAGCTATATATTTTTTCGCGTAGCTTTTATAGAACGTAACTGTTATAGAAGCGTCGCTGGAACGATAACCTATTCGTTGTTAAAGATATTGCTCAAATTTAGGTAGCTCTTTGTAGCTACAATTTTTCGGTTTGTTATGATAATGCATATTATTGAAATGAAGTTCTATCTACTATTTCAATAATGCCTTACTATACTGATATTCTGAAGTTTCAGCGTATAATAATGTCGGGAGCGCGCGCTTCTATCGTCTGCTCTCCCTCTCTCTTTTTAGGTTTGCCTTGCATTTTTGTAAACAAATTCATGACACCTGCCCCCGACACACACACTTTTGCACACACATAGAGACAGACAAAGTTCCACCTTTTGGATTGTTCAGTCGAAGTGACGTCGACGCCAAAGCAAGAACAATTGTTTGTTCGGCCGACTATTTATATAAAAGAAAAGGCATTAACATTTTCAGCAAAGGAAATTCCAAATGTTGTGCGTTTTTCTGTGAACTTGCACAGATTGTTGACCGTGTTGGACTTGCGATCAGTGCCGAGCACGATCTCTATATAAATATTTTATTAGCAAGTAGATAAAATTTAGGTGTATCCAACTGTGCGTGTGTGTGTGTGTTTATGTTGACCTTGTTTTAGGCGCTAAGGTGAAAAAGCAGAAAGAAAATATCATGTGGGTGATCTTCTGAGCGCTGCCCTCATTTTAGGTTGGCCTTTAGGTTACTAATAAAATCGGCCAGTTTATGACGGCCATACAAATTGGTGCACTATGGTGGGTGGAAAGGGTTGGGAGAGCGATTGATATGGCCCATTGCTACTATTTAGCTGGTAGGTAGGTGTGATAAGATAGGCGTACTAAAGTGAAAGACATGATAAGGACAATTTAATTAAAGATTAAAGAAAGCTATTTTATACAAATATGTGTGAAGTTTGGAGAATTGGAAAGGCTGTTTATGGCAGAGGATGTGTACAAGAAAATGGTAGTAGATATTGTAAACAGATTTTGATGTAACGTTAAAATTAAAGAAACAAAACAATATTTTTAGTCAGTTATGTATTAATCTGTACAAATAGTTAATATAAGTTGCTCGTATATAACATCTATTATGAACTATAATTAATAAAAAGCAAAATTTGTAATTTGTTTAAAGATTACAAAAAATTTAACCCATTTAACATTCTATTTCAGCTTTTTATGACTTTCGCAAAATTTTGCTGAAGTTCTCGACCACTTCATTCAAATAAATAGTTCGCTTGAAGGTCCCTTAAAATATACCACCATAAATTAGAGGGGAGTCTTCCGAAGAATATTTATTAATTTTCCAGATTACTCTTTTACTGATTTAATTTAAAATGCTGTTCAACAATTTACCAATTTATCAGGAACAATTTCAAAAGTACCGAAAAGGGTATCAGCAATTCTTGACAGCAAAATTTGTGACAAATATGAAACGACTTTCGTCAAGGCTAAGCTTTTTAGCAACTTAAAATTAGCTTATTGTTTGACAAAGTGCTTAAACCAATGTCCAACAGTCATATAGTATTAATGATTTGCACACGGTAGCCGGTTCTATTGTCTGTCCATTCGTAGCTGCTCTCCAGCATGGTGTTTAATGCAATGAGTTCATCATTCTGATTGTGCTCATGCTTACTTAATCGATAAAGCCCATAAATTTTCTATTTGAAGTGTCAGCTCGTAAAATTTCAATTAGCGCTAGTTGCGCTGAGATAACTCATTCAACTGTTTAGGAATTGAGGACTCTAGCACTTGGATCGAAAAACACCAAAGTTTGGCATTAAAATAAAATAATTTTTAAAAGATTACATTAAATTGTAAGTTTTTGAATATTTTTTTATCCAGAAAAATTATAGGAATCACTTTATTTGAACAATTTTTTTCTATATATCTATAGATTAGTTGCTATCATAAATATATTATATTTAATTAATTGACTTGATTTCTCTTATCATTCGGATTTTTATACAAGCTGGATACAGCCTCTGGGGGTTTCTTTGAAAATTATTTTCCAGTAGATTTGTTTTTAATTGTTTAGATTCTAATATTAATTTAATATGGATTTCGAGATTTTGAGAACTAACTGGTTACATATTTGATAAACCCTTTTTCCCCACACGAGTAATTTATTCAGTTTTAATCAAAATATAACTTATACGAGTATTCCAATGAGTTATAGAGTATTCCATAGTTGTTCTGCAGTATTCCCACTTGTTTTCAACTAATTGTTGCACAAATATTTATGGAAAGGCGAAAGAAATGAGTAGCATTTTATTTCATAACCAGTTTCTGGCGGCTGGGAGTTCGTGAGGGGGTCCCAAATGGATGCGTGTGTGTGGGCGACCCCAAGTTAGCAGCGGAAATGGGTGATGGGTTTGCGTGCACACACACACACACACACACATACGCACACTCACAACACACAATGACAGCTGTTTGTCGTAAACAAACTCGCATCAATTGAATGCAACGATCATCGACGTTCGAGCGTTCTCGGCCAGCCCCTCTTAATTGTGAGTGCACATCTATCTATGAGATACATTTTGCGGCAAGTTATTGAAACTGTTTTCGAAGCGGCAAGTGCAACCAATCTTCGTAAGTGCTTTATTGCTCACTGTGGTCGTTTATATAAGAAGTCGCATGTTTGTTTTGAAAAACAATTTGTATGCACTTTGTCAGTGGAAACGCCTGCCAGTAGATTGAATTTATTTATTTTGTAATACGAGATAAGACGGAAAATGCATTTACATAATTCCATCATATTTTGTTTATTGCTTTGTTTGTTTGTTCGTTTGATGTTGTTCAAATATGTCATAATTGTTATAAATTAGATGTCACGTTCTAATTGGTTTTTATTTAGTTTTTACGAAATGTTATCGTTCGTCTTTTTGTTGTTTCTATTTTTATACTCTAACAAGAGGTATTATGGGTTTAGTATGCAGTTTGAATGTTATGGATACGACAGAATATCGTATCGTATGCCGCAGAATATCAAATCGATATGCTAAAACTATATTGTTTACTGGTCTCTGTATTTTACTAAAGTTTTCAGATGGCTTTATTAAATTATAAAGCTGTTGTAGAAAAAAGATGCGTTGATTGTTAGGTTAGGTGGAGATGGCTGGAGGGTGTGCTTTCAATTACCCCGAGGTTTTTGAATTTAGCTGAGATTAGTTCGGAAGGTTTGTCATAGAGCAATTAGACTGCCAAGTGCTTATATGCAGTTATGTTTCTAAGAACTTTGATCTAATGATAAATAAGTTATACTATTTGAATTTCTTAGCATGGAACAATCAGATAATAATAATATAATCATATTCATTTTTAAAGTTTTTAAAATAATTTTAAAATAAAAGTGAAAAAGTTAAAATAAATAGACAATATACAGAAATATTTACTATTATTATTATGAGACATCTGTTACAAAGGAACTAACAGGAACTAACTAGGTTACAAATACATATCTAAAATAAGGTTCTAATATACCTAATATCTTTAATTTAGCACTCACAAACTTCCCTTCTAACGATTAATTCAAAAGATAATTAATAATAATTTATTTATAATTTAGAGTTTCTTCTTTCTTATATTCTTAAAGCTCTGCTTTTCGACTAGGAATTGGGGGAATCATACCAAGCATTTACTGGCTTGCATTTTTGCATAAACTGTTAACTATATGAGAAACAAATTGAATATTCTCTGCGCTTATCATATACAGCAGATAAATTATTTTAATTCTTAGATGAATTTTTAATTATATAAAAATTAACTAAAGTTTAAGTTCAGAAAATGTATTCCTAAACATTCTCATAACCAGAACAGAAGTAAGGACGTTTTTAAAAGATATTGTTGATTTGTTATGAATCAACTTAATTCTCTCCTTTTACGAATTTCACAAATAATGTTATTATACCTGGCAACCAATAGGAAAAAGGATATGCTGTTTTTAGCATGACATTATAGGACACAAATAAAACTGAATATTTATCGCAATGCACTTTGGAAGCCCTTCGCTCAATTCACATAAAAGAACCTTTTTCGTAACGCACTTTGGAAGCCCTCCGTCTAATTCCCATAACAAGAACATGAATTAAATATTATTTCAGGTAAAAAGTATACAAATATTATTTAAGCCCTCTACCATGATTCTCAAGCCTCAGCCGAGGTTATTACTTTTTTGAGTAAATTATCACTCTTTATCGCACTTTGTCTAAAATAAATTTTCCTTCAACGTGTCGGAGACGATTATCCATTATATTAGTTGCTTTTTTGGGGTTATCCTACGTCCAAAGGTGAAATTAACCTATGTCGAAAGAATATATTTGTTGACTTCATAAAATTTGAATTGTGAAACTGATATTATTTTACATATATTTAATGATTTAACTGATTTATTTATTTAAATCTTCCGACTATCATACCTTTGCCATAGCTCTTTGCTGATTCAGACCCGTAATTTATGTCAAAGTATACCAGTATGTGTATTCTTTGACGCTCAAAAGATAATACTTAATATTTCTGCTGTCATCTTTAGCGTTATATGCTTGCTCTCGTTCTTTATATATCTGCTACGCCTACAACATTTGTTCATACGCTACTATATCGTTCATAATCCGCTTGTCTAGCAAATGAATGGCGCTAAAGAAATGTTCTGTGCCTGCTACATTTGGGCTAATTTCCCATTTATCACATTATTTTTACTTGATTTTTCGTTTCGTTATATTAAATAATTAGCATTATAATTAGTTTAAATTAAAATGTTTAAATAGTTGTTGGCTTAGGCATTGAAAAACACATGTCGCAAGTAATGTTTTGAAGATTTAAAGGCATTTTAAATGAGTGACAGTGTTCATTAATTTTTTATTTTTATGTCCCACTCAAAATTAGCTCCAGATATTTTCAAAAAGACATTTTCAGCAAATTCAAATTCAATGGTGGTGGGATGTGTTTAAATAAATATTTGTCTAACATATGTATGGCCGGTTTTTTGTTAGTCTATGCAGTTGAGCTATCTATAGCATTTTTAATACACAAAAGTTTGCTTTAATTAGCATTTTGCATAATTATTTGTATTTTAAAATTATTTATGCGCTCGCTACCGGTACAGAAAATTCAAAAGGTTGTCTTTCATCTTTAAAATGAATAGATTGAGAAATACAACGCTTTATTTTAAATCGACAAACTACAATAACATATGTATATACATACATATATACATAAGTAGGTATATACTTGTATATATATTTTCAGACGCTTGTTTTATTTTATTATAAAGACAGATATTAATTTCTTTTGTACGCAATTCGCAATATCAGAGCCCAATGCACTCAACCGCGTAAACAATTTTCCCACGCTGCAACCTCAGATTTTTCATCAACTTTTTTGTGCAGCACTTTATTTTTATTTTTTTTACGTTATTGTTTATATTTTTCACTTGATTTACTGAATTTTCAGATTGCACTTTACACATTTTAAAAATAAATTTTGTATTTACTTTATTTTGCTGTCGCAATGCTGTCGATTTAAACTTTTAGCTGCAACGCCACTTTATTTTGTCTCATATTTTTTTGTTGTTGCCACAACACTAATATTATTTATTTATATTTTTGTCACACGCGTCACGAGCGTTGCGTTGATACGAACACAACCGAAACGACTGAAATGGAACCCACCAAAACTAACCGTTAGAGTTGGAGAAGACAACAAACCCCAACGAACGTGAGTCGCATGAGCGCCACAAACCGAGAGAGAGAGAGAGAGAGAGCGCCCAGGCGAGAGAGCGGACCAGCAAACAAAAACAAATATCACTCGTACTGCAGAAAATACTGAGCATCAGACGCCAATAAGATGCTCGGTGTTCATTTTATTCGTTTCTGTTGTGTGTTGTGGCTCAGTGGTTGCGTCTGTTGTCTGGCTCCAAATGGCGATGATGACGTTGTGACGACAACAACAACGAAAGAAGCGGAACCGCAAGTAAAAGCCGCAAGTGGGAGGCGCTAGGAAGAGCAAACAAATCAACAAACCGATTGTCATACGTTCTACAGTGGTGCAAACATCATTTCAAATATCAAAATATATTGTAAGTTAATTAAATGAAACAAATGCAATTCTATTAGCATTATCTTTAATAGAATATTTTAAAAGTAGAAAAAACCTTCTTCAATAACACGAAAAAAGACCGGATATATATGTCTTTATTAAACTTATCAAATAGTAACGCATTTATTGAGAAACTGGTCATTAATCATTGAGGGAGAATAACATGAGCAATGACTTAAAAGTGCAATTGAGTGGGTAGAAATATTAAGTACGTTTATTTATGTAATATAGTTGTATACTGTACTAGATACTGTTATACTTGTATATTCATTATACTCTTCATGAGAAAATTATTTATGTTATGATAAACACTTTTCTCAACTTAAAAAATTATTCATAAAATTCTAATACAAAATGGTATCACTTGGATATTATACGTATATATATCTACGATATATAAGACTTTATTCCTATTACTAAAATAGTATGACTTGGTAATTCATTAATAAACTATTCACTCCTCGATCCCCACTGTGCGCGCACTTTTGAAAGCTTTCTAAAATGAAGCTAAGGGCCTTGCATACTTACACTCGATCTGCATAATGATCGTTCACTGAACCTATGTAGATCATAATGATGTGGCGACGTTCGCCAGTTGAAGTGTGCTTCAAACAAGAAACAACGCCAACGACCCTTAAAATAACACAGGAGGCGGACAGACAAAGATCACGGCCTGCCAGAAATATGTACAATATTGTACAACCACAACGATCAGCAGCTATGCCTCCGCCAGTTGTCAAGTTGTCAAGCACTGCACCACAATGCTGCACACTGCACACGCAACCATCAGTGGCGTGTCGAGTGGCACAGTCTGATTGGAGCCATCAATAAAGTGGGCGCACACACTAATGACTGAAAAATTGTTGCACTTAAGAAAATCAAACCAGACAGAGTGGCTGACTCATCCAGTAGTATCTATCTGCTGATGAGTTCGCAGCACATATTTTATTAGTGTTAAATTTATTTATTGAATGGAAATAATTATTTTGTGGTACTACCTTAAATACTCTGTGCGTTTTTTGCCGCGATGTTTTCGGATTTTAGTAAAATACCTTTAGGAATGAGCAATAGACATAGTAATAACATAATTTATATTTGGAAAATTTTACTTAAGTAAAGTTTCTGATATTTACTGACTTAGTTTAATATGTTTAAACTGCACAGCACTGCCGCGTAAAGCACTTCTGCACTTTATTCATAGAAATTAAGTGATAGGCGGTACCACTGTGCGTGGGCGAGCAGTCAGCTGTACATCACAGCGTGCTGCCAACTTGGCCCTAAACTCAAGGCTTCATTTTTTGCACGGCCTTTAATCATATCTTTGGAATTTCTGGAAGCACAGAAATCGGCTCACACACATTTTGTATACATCTATCTAGGTAGCGCATGTTTGTACATATGTATGTGTGCATGTTTATCATTCGACATTAAGAGCAAGCGCAACAGGCAGTAAGCAGCAGAAAATTGTGTCATAAAGAAAATAAAGAACAGTAACAGCAAAAAACTTCGACAGTGGCGACAACACCAACAAGGCAGCTGTTGAGAAGTTTCTGATGACTAAAAAGTGGCGACGAAGACAACGAAAACGAAGCAAGTAAACAAATAAAAAACAAACTAAATTAAGAGTCAAGCAAGCTTTGTTCGCTCAAATCATTAACTATACAGTAAATGTGAGTCCAATGTTCAGCTTGCTCAGCCCGATAAAGAGGATTTATCTACAGCTCTCTGGAAACAAGCCTATAAACCGAATTGCAGCACATCAGAGGCAAACCACACCCAAAAGTTGATATCTTGCAGTTGAGTGCACTATGAATGATTAAAAACGTATGCACAGAAGTCTTGCTGATTCGTTTTGATTTCCAGGAATGCGTATAAATCATAAAAAGCGTGGCAACATAAAAATGCCATCGAGGGTGGATGAGCTTGGGATTTGTCATATGTATTATCGATGGTCTGGCATTGATAAGACGTACTTTATTTGCAATACTGAGAACAAATAATCGCATCTTTGTCATCAAATATTTCCAATTTTTAAAGTAATTAGTAATGGATGCATATTAAGGGGAAATATTTGAATAGTGAATTAAAATTAGCTCAACACATTTAACCATGTTAAGTTAATACAAAAAGTCTTAATAAACAAACAAACATTTTAAAGACCAACGTGGTCAAACCTATCAGTCAACATTGAGCTGCATATTAACGACTGAAATATTGTAGACTTAAAATGTGTAGCAAATAAATGTACGAGGCGATCCCTATCAGCACTGTTTAAAACAAATTCTAAGATAACGCAAAAATTTCAAAGATTACGCACGCTCTTGTTGATTTAACTCATTTAAAACCTTTTAACTATTAGAGCCACGCCATCTAGCGGCCGTTGTCAGGCACTCAGGACGCCAGTACAGAAATGCTAATTATACACAATTGGCTAAAAGAGACGACCTTGAGGCACAGGCCAGGCCTTATAGAGCTTAGCTGGAGCTGTGCCAGCCGCACCCTACAATTAGGTACATCCGAGTATGTGGCTTTGTATGCAAAACACACACACGAAGATGAACAAATGCACTCACCTAAATCATCCATTATGTTGGCTAGTGTAGTGTTGTGTACTGTTGTTGTTCTTGCAGATATTTCAATTGGTATACACAAACGTAGACACGGAACTGTGCGTAGTAAGTAGCAGAATTTCTAATTGAAAAGTCTCAATTGAGCAGCACAAACACACATAAACTTACACGGGAACAGCGGTGAGGCACACACACGTTAGTTAATTAGTGGAATAAATTACAATGGACGCCGTTTAACTAACAAATATTAATCCACGCACACAATTTTCGAGCTGCTTGCTCGCGACATCAACAACGACGAAAAAAGGTTCACGAAGTTTTAACTCTTACCGTCAGCACCGCGTTTGGAATTGAAATTATTTTTGCTGAAATGGCAAGCAGTCAGCGAGTTTTACCCGCAAGTTGGAGACGAGTTTTATATGATTCAGCAGCAGCAGCAAAAAATAACAACAAAATCTACAGCGAGCGCACATAAACAATTCCTACACACATACACACAAATGCGGCGCGTTCAGTAAATCAGCTGTTGTTGGGAACCCCATATCAGGCAGCTTTTAAAAACGAGTCAGAGCAACGATTGCGCGCGAATCGTTAGTTTGAATTTCTAAGTCATACTATTAACCCTTGTTACGATTTGAAAAAGCCATTGGCTTTTATTTCGATTAAGCAGTGTTCTAATTATATATTTTAAATGTGATTGTCTTGCAGCTTACAAAATGCTGCCCGAATCACAAATCACTCTGATAGACATGAACGACGATTGTTTGGATGCCATATTCAAATACTTAACACTGAAAGAACTGATGAGTGTATATGGCGAAACGCATGTACTTATTGATGAGGCTGTAAAGCGTCAGTTTCATAGGTTTCGGCACTTTGAATGCACCATGCGTGAACCACCGAAATATGGCGAGCACAAATTACAGCTGCTTGGACGCTACTTACACAGCATTTTCATAAATGTGGGATACTCTATACAAGCCAGGGATGCTCTGGCCATATTAAAGCCACTCTGCAGAGGTGCAAAGGAAAGTGGGCGTCTACGCGCACTAAAATTACAACATGTTACCTGGACTTCCGAATACGTAGATGTAATCTTATTAGTGGCTAATTCATTGCGTCTGCTTGACGTGAGCAGATGTGCATTTTCTGTTACACAGCTAATGAGCGTTTTAAATTCGGCTCCAAAGTTACATACTCTAAAGATGGTTAGCATATTAAAGACTACAGACGAAGAATTTTCGGAAGAAGAATTGTTGCAACAAGTGCGCTGCCTTATAGTAATTAACCAGCCCTTACTGCCGCCCTCACATCCACCAAGCATTCTCTCCCAGTTGGCCGAAAAGCATAAAGTTAGCATAATTTTCTATACATTTCCACACTGCGACTCTTTTACAACGTATGGACCTTCTCTAATTATGCGTCCGATGGCCATGTGGCACTATGAGTATTTCAAAGATGAATTATAAGCTTTATTTTATAAAAATAAATATGGAATAACATTTTTTATGAATAAAGTTTTAATAAATAAATACTTTATATTATAATTTGTTGAACATAAACTTTTTTTTTTTTAAACACCATATTACGTCCCCTAAAGTCTAATTAAATAAATAATAAAATAGTATAGAGTAATTTTAATTTCTAAACACAAATTTTTTATTTTTGTTAAATACAAAGTTCTTAAGGTAAACTTAAAAGCTATTAGAATATTTAGCTTCGGCTGCTGAGGCCTTTAGCTACAAACACAAAATTTCATAGCATCAAGCTATTAAGCTGCACCACACGGTTGCTTTGATTGACACAGCTGCTTTGTTTACTTATTTTTTGTTGTCAACACGCCGGCTTCTCATTGCATTTTTTGCATAAATTCTGACGCACGTAAATATTTCACTAATTGTGAAATAAATAAAAAATCGATTTGCATTTCGGCTTTTAATACTTTTTAGATAGTTGTAATTAATAAAACAATCGCAGGTCGGTCAAAATGGTTGTCCGCCCGTACAACGATGAGTTAAAGTATTTGGAAAAAATCAGTGACCACTGCTGGCGCATCAAGAAAGGATTCCAGCCCAACATGAATGTGGAGGGCTGCTTCTACGTGAACAGCCGGTTGGAGCAGCTCATGTTGGAGGAGCTAAAAAATGCTTGCCGTCCGGGAGCTGTAGGTGGCTTTCTGCCTGGAGTTAAGCAAATTGCAAATGTGGCCGCACTTCCCGGTATAGTTGGACGCTCAATTGGCCTGCCCGATATTCACTCAGGTTATGGCTTCGCTATTGGCAACATGGCAGCATTCGACATGGATGATCCGCTGTCTGTGGTCAGTCCCGGTGGTGTTGGGTTCGATATCAACTGTGGTGTGCGTTTGCTTCGCACAAATCTGTACGAGAAAGATGTGCAACCGGTAAAGGAGCAGCTAACACAGTCGCTCTTCGACCATATACCAGTGGGTGTAGGCTCCAAGGGTATTATACCCATGAATGCCCGTGATCTGGAGGAGGCGCTGGAAATGGGCATGGACTGGTCATTGCGTGAGGGCTACGTCTGGGCGGAAGACAAGGAGCATTGCGAGGAGTATGGTCGAATGCTGAGTGCCGATCCTGCCAAGGTCAGTTCGCGTGCCAAGAAACGTGGACTTCCACAACTGGGCACATTGGGTGCCGGCAACCATTATGCTGAAATCCAAGTGGTCGATGAGATCTTTGACAAATGGAGTTCCAGCAAAATGGGTATTGAGGAGAAGGGCCAAGTTGTGGTCATGATTCACTCTGGCAGTCGTGGCTTTGGTCACCAAGTGGCCACAGATGCCCTGGTAGAGATGGAGAAGGCCATGAAACGAGACAAAATCGAGACTAACGATCGCCAGCTGGCCTGCGCACGAATCCATTCTGTCGAAGGACAGAATTATCTAAAGGCCATGGCGGCTGCTGCCAACTTTGCTTGGGTGAATCGCAGCTCAATGACGTTTCTGACACGTCAAGCATTTGCCAAAATGTTTAACACCACACCGGACGATCTGGACATGCACGTCATCTACGATGTATCGCATAACATAGCCAAGGTGGAGAATCACATTGTGGATGGAAAGGAGCGCCAGCTACTTGTGCACCGTAAGGGCTCTACGCGCGCTTTTCCTCCTCATCATCCTTTGATTCCTGTCGATTATCAATTGACTGGACAGCCCGTGCTAGTTGGAGGCACCATGGGAACTTGCAGTTACGTGCTAACAGGCACAGAACAGGGCATGCAGGAGACATTTGGCAGTACTTGCCATGGCGCAGTAAATAATTACATAGATATCATTCATATGCTAAGTATTTTGTGAATGTATTTTTTTCTAGGGTCGAGCCTTGTCACGTGCCAAATCGCGCCGCAATATCGACTATAAGCAGGTACTAGGCAAACTCGAAGAAATGGGCATTTCCATACGAGTCGCCTCACCCAAGCTGGTCATGGAGGAGGCACCCGAATCATACAAGGACGTGACGGATGTTGTGGACACCTGTCATGCGGCAGGCATAAGCAAGAAGTGCATAAAACTGCGTCCCATTGCAGTGATTAAGGGCTAGAACATAAATGATATAAAGAATGAACTGTAATTGAATTATATATTAATTTGTTTTGCTTGGGAGTAAACGACGATGATAGATGAAATGTTTGATTTTTATTAATATTGCTGGCACATAACTTATAAAAATATCTGATTGTTCGTCTACCGCTTTGCTGATGAAACTGACATCGGCAGTTTTGTAATTTGAATCAATAATAAATATGCATTTAAAGGCCCCATAGAAATAAAATATTAGGAGATTAAAGAAATTAAAAAGTTTTGGCGCCATTGTATTGCTGTCAAAGTACTCATGAGTACAAGAAATAATAATTAAGAGCATTACCCAACACTGATGTTGGCTTCATCAACAGTTTTCTAGCTGTTGTTTTTAGTTGTCAGCTGAGCGGCCTTCTTATTGGACCTGTGTGCGGCGCGTTCTTTCACGGTCGTTTAATTGCCTTTTAATTGTTTTCATTTGAAAAGTGCATTTCAATTGTATTGGATAATTATAAAAAATAAACAACTAGTGCATGCAAAAATAGTCGCGCATAACTGATAGTACGTTCAGTGCAATTTGTAATTTTTATTTGACAGCGAAAACATTTCAATTGATGGCACTACACGCCAGACAATGTTTTAATTCGTAATTATTTACTATCTCTGGGAAAATACAATAGGCTGCGCAGTTAACCAAAATTCCTAGTGCGGGCGTTAATAAAACTATTACCACAAAAATGGAAAATATGCGCCCACCGCAAAAGTCCGTCCTATTGAAGGTACGTACACAGAAATATACTTATTAAATATATTCTGTGTTTAATACATTTCCTATTTAATGGATTCCGTTTCATTTCATGTAAATGAAGGTCGTTATATTGGGCGATGGGGGTGTTGGTAAGTCCTGCCTTATGAATCGCTTCGTTTCGAATCGTTACGATGAAAACAATTTCCACACCATTGGCGTAGAGTTCATGAACAAGGACATTGTTGTGGATGGCGAGAAATATACCTTACAGGCAAGTATTGTTTTTGTAGAGGGGGGAAGAGGGGGAAACTAACACGCACACATGTCCACTGATAGGTAGCTCTATTCATGTGTCTATTTCGAGTGTCATTGAGACTAGGGTATGGCACTATAGTATCAAGAATGCGATATATGTACATACTATAAGTAGTTGTGAGAGTTCTTCCGTCTCGCGCTTGTAAATTAAACTTACGTTTGTGGCTTTTTCGCAGTGACTATTTTTCTATTCTTTTTACAAACTAAACTTAATGACTTTATCAGCCGCCTGCTTGATAATCTCCCACTATAGTTAATTGATCCCATATACTCGTACATTAATCTCATATATTGCCAAATCGTGCTATTAATCCAGTTACATTAAAATTCAACAGCAAAACAAAACGCTGTCAATTGAAGCGCATTTCCACCTGCATACGTTTTTATTGTTCACTCTACCATGCGATGAGCAGAGCGCACAGTTCTATAAAAAGGTTTTGTCAAGTAGTTACAAAAATAATAGTATTGTTAAAACAAAATTTAAAAAAAACTGGGTAATTTTTGGAAATTTCGATTTAATATTTCTTAAAAAAGGGGAACCACATTTATTGTATTATTAAATTATGAAATTATTCATACATTTTGGATCAGGTTGATCTTATCATGAAGCACATTTATGAAAATATATCAGAATTTGAACAATATCAATCCCTTCACCCAATATACATACAAGTGAGAATCCTGAATAACTTTTTACAATTAGTTGAAAAAGGCCTTATCATACCAACTTTTCTAAAAATGTAGCAGCATCATCGTATACCTCGTATATAGGAATGAATGGCTGAAGAGTTTATTAAATTAACTATTCCCTTTGAATGCAATTCATTTTTTGCGAAATTAAGTTTTAAAAAAGTTTATTATAGCGCTAGGTAATCTTTTGTTAAAATAGTATTGCCAAAATAGCTTTATCTGTACTCCTATGTGGTCGTTTCTGATAAATATTTGATCAAATATTTATAAGCTTAACATATCTAACGAGTAAACGTTAAAATCGTGCCTGTCTGACTCTGGAATACCTTGTATAAATTTTTTTCATCGCTACATCCTTCAAACTTAAATCAAGTGCCATGTTCAAAACGTGTTCAGATATCATACAAATTAAAGAATGATTTTTTGATATTAGCGCAATAGTTTTAGAACCCTTCATTGCAAGTAGTACTTGGTTAATATAATACTATAAATATAGTTTGTAAATAAAGTTTATAATTAGCAATTTATGGATTAGTTCGTGTTTGAGGATTGAAAAATTACTCACTTTAATAATAATGTTTTCATATTCTCTAATAAAAAAACCCCCTTTCCAAATAGATAATAATATTTATGACCTAACATAGTTGTCTCCTCAAATTCTCGTACGGACATACCAATTTTGAGATCAATTAACTGAAATGTACTCTTAAATTTGCAAAATCCCGCAATCAAAGCGGCACTAAACAACAAAAATAACAACAACCGCTCGTTCAACAAATAAAACAATGCTGAGGCATTATTTCCGAACGATGTGGGAAACGCAACGCTACGTAGATTGAGTTGAGCATTTGAGTTCATTTTTGATATTGACTCAGAAAGTCAGAAAGCAGGAACTTGCATAATCTTGTCTCTCTGTCTTTATCTCGACGTGGGCTTTTCTAACAAAGTTCACCCTCGCTTGGCAGCTACTCGACATCGTAGTAGTGCCTCATCACGTTCATTTCCTTTGCATTTTTTTTTTTTTTTGCTTACTAAGAATGCACTCGTTTATGTTCATAGTTGGTTCACATTTTCATTTCAATTTTCCCCTTCGAGCAACTTTCAATGCTGATGAATATGCAATTGGCAGCTCGATGAGTAAACCAAATGACATAATTGGCATTCGGAATAATGTTTATCAATTATTTAGGTATTATACATGTGAGCACAACTATTGAGCAATTAGTTCGAAAGATCCCTCAAACAAAATCACCTAAAATGCTTGTTATTATGACTCACTGGTTAGTTTGTAGGCTTTTGGTTTCCTCTTCAAGCCAGAAAAAATTATGCCATGGTTCGTTGGTTTGGAACTGGTTTTGTAAAAGAAGAAGAAAACCCAAGCGGTGTATTGTTTTCTCCCCCAAGCCGGGTTCTACGGGCTTGCAACATGAATTTAAATGGGAATTTAAATTGGGGAGGGCTTGAAAGCTGAATTTTAAACTCATTCCGGGGCACTAAAAAATTTACGCATGCAACTAACGGCACATTTGAGGCGTGCAACATATTGAGATTATGCTTGTTTTATCCATCACGATTCCAAGGGCCTAGTAGAGCTGCTTCAAAGACTTCGTCGAAAATGCAACAAACGTTTGCTTTGTAACATCTTTAACGAGCTGTAATTATTTAGCTATTCAACGACCTAGAAAAGCTGATTCGAAGGCAGAAACCAGCAATAGAAAAACGTTCTTTCAATGAAATGATTTCCGGAACACTGAATGACGAATTTTTTACAAAAATATTTTGCAGAATTGATTGTCTTTGCTCAATAATTAAATATATTTACAATTTTCTTACACCAGTAGGTCCGGTAAAATGTTGCACACATTTTGTTTGTTCATATGAGCATTGTAATCTTAACTTGAATTAATTTTAAATGATCTACGAATTTTAAAAATTAAGCTTATACAAAACCAATATTTATGAATCAGCTTTCTTCTCGAACCAATTGTTCCCATAGTAACCAAAACAAAAAAAGTTTTTCAACTGAAACAGTAGTTTACTTTAAAAGAGATAAATAAAATAAATGAGATAGATGTACAAATATAGTAATAATGCAATATTTGATTTATTATATTTTGATTTAATTTTAAAATATTCATCAAGATTCTGACGATATAAAGAAACCATATAAGGACCAGCCTGAAAACCGTTTTCCAAGTTTTATGAGCTTGGTTATAGTGCCTTGAATACATATTTAGCCGTAAATAGGTTTTATTTAAATTTTCCAAACAGCTACATTTTGTGAGCAGCATTTTTATGTTTAGAGAAATACATTTTTATTTACTTGTTTTACGGTATTATTTGTCGATACAAAGAAAAAATTAAATTTTTTTTCAAATATCTTAAAAAATAATATAATATAAATATATAATTTGCGTAATTTTTAAAACTAATCACAATCATAGCTCTTTCAAGAATACGCAAATAATAAAAGAGCTTCTCCATTCAAAAAGAATTTCTTAAACAAATTTTAATACAATAAAACGGAACTGGCTCTTATCTCTAGAAATTGTCCTCTCTACATATACATATGCATCTGGGCTACCTAGATCTCTAGTGTGTTGGTAGAACAATATTTATTTGGAGATATTTTTTTCTGACACATACAGGTACACCTGTCTGTTCAAATGCTCTTGACATTATTCGCATATGTATGTGCATATATGGTATATGCAAGTATATTGTATATATAGTTCCGTTCCACATTCATTTTAAAGTCTTTGAAAGCCCAATGTTTACTTTCGGATGCTTCTGCTCGTTGTTGGTTCCATTATCAGCGCTACTTTATCAGTCGGTCTTCTAGCTAGGGCTTTACGCAATTTTTTGGCTCAGAAATATTTACTTATTTCGGGGTGTGACGCCAGAAAGCATTCACGTCATGTTTGCTAACCTTTTGTGGCGCTAATTAACTGCTTGTAATATTTCAAAAAGTGTGATCTTTTCAAATGTTTATCGAGCAGTGTAGTGACTAATATGGCAATAATAATAATCATACGACTGCGAACATTTAGGAATTTCAATTCTGGGGTCATCTTGCTGCATTCATAGTCAACAAAGCACATATATATAAATAACTAAAAATAAAAATTTCATCAATCAAGATTTGTTTTTTAAAACATAGGTCAAACGAGTTCACTGATAAGCACGCCTGTTCTATTTTCCGACTTCAATTAACAAGAAAATAAATGCACTTTAATCTGATAGCTTAGCAATTTCCAATTCTCCTAATTTTGTTCGAATTTGGAAACGGGACCGTACCTCTTTAACATGATTTTAATATTCTTAATGCTTGTAAAATCTTTACTGAATAATTGTATGCTTTCATTTTAAATGGCTTAAGTACACCTACTCGGCAAAATATTAACGAAATTCATGATATGTTAATAATTTTCAAACTCCTGGAAACAATAAATTTCTGTAGGTTTCATCAAAAATTTTTTGAATAAACCTACTTTATTTACAATTTATAACTCAAAATTAAGTTATATTTGAATTTTTGAAGAAAAACTTGATATACATAGATATGCTTATTATTCGTTCACATACTTAGTAGCAGCTCTAATCCATAGTTATTCGTTTTCTATAAAATTCTGACATTTAAATGAATAATTTAACACAATTTCATATCTTAAGTAAAAATAAATACATTAGAATCATGATTAATTCAAGTTGCAATAAAATGAATAGAATTTAAATTATTAATTATAAACCAAACCATTGGAATTATGAAGTTAAAGAAGCATTATATCATATTTAAATCCTTTGAATCTGTTTTATTATAATTTAATTAAAATGAAAATAAATTTATAATTGTTATTTCTTAAAATATATTGTAGTTACTATAATTATTATGTTTATAGACGGTGATATAATTAATAATGAAGATTCTTTTTTTGAGTCTATTCCAGAACCCCCGTACATCACAATAACTAATCCAACTTTTATGAATCCTTAATAACTCCCTTTCTCTGGCCTTTTCAGATCTGGGATACAGCAGGTCAGGAGCGCTTTTGGGCCTTACGCACACCTTTCTATCGTGGCTCGGACATCTGTCTGCTGTGCTATGCTCTGAACGATCGTGAAAGTCTGCGCCATCTGAAACGTTGGCGCGACGAGTTCTTACAGTTTGCGGATGTTAAGCCCGAGAAGTTTCCGTTTATTGTTGTGGGCAATAAGGTGAGTGCGAGCCGATAAAATGAAAATGTGATTAAACGACACATTAAAAGACCATTTCTTGTGCCCCGCAGAACGACCTGAGGCATGAAATTAATCCCGCAGAGGTACAACAATGGTGCACGGACCAAAACATAGCCATACATATAGATACCTCATCCAAGGCGGCCACAAATGTAACCGATGCCTTCGTCCTGGCCGTGCAGCGATGGAAGCACTTGGAACGCGTCGCAGAGGCAGAGCTCCGCCAAGACGGCGAGACCATTGATTTAACACGACCCGTCCGTCTCCTGCAGAAACGCGTTTGCTGCACGGGTGGCGGTGGCGGCGATGGGGGCACGAATGGCGCCGATTATGACGACAATGATGCGCACTTTGCAGATTCCGCCATGCGGGCCCCAACATTTAAGACGCGACAGTTGTTTGGACAGCAACGCAAAGCCACAAAGGCGCCAAAGACCAATTACCAACTATAAGCACTGTGCGGCAGGGTGTGAGTGTGTGTGTGAGGCTGCCGGCATTAACTACTTACCTTACTCTAAGATAAGTCTCGTTTGTAGCTGTTAATTGCATTCTTGACGATGTGATGAACCAAATAACGGGTGCAATCAACAATATATACGAAACACATTTTAAAACCCACAACTTAAATGTTGTATAACAGCTTCTAAAAGCAGTTACGATTATAGCCGTTAAAGAAAAGTCTCCAATACTTGCAAAACTTGTATAACAGATTTTGAAGACAGAAAAAAGATAAATATATCTGTATAATAGATAATGCACAGAATGTTGTATAACAACTGGTGTTGTTTAACAGCTTGTAATACCAGCTTAGGGTGTACAATTTTTTTATTAAAAAATAAAAAAAATAATCGCGTGAGATAGGAAGAGGCTAACTAAAATACTCCACACTGTTTTATAACAGCTTCTAAAGCCAGATAAGAGTATACGAGATAACGGTTTTTGTACTAAAGCTTTCAAAGATGAATTGTATAAGAGCCAAAGGAAGTGCTGATACTGCTGCAAAACTATATAAGTAGGTACATCTCTTCAACCATTGTCGGACACATAATCTTAAAACATGTCTGTGTTATTTTGCAAGTGAATTGGAGCTCTTCCAATATTTCAATTTAAATTTGCCATTCGTTTTTATTGCAGTATATATTCTTCTTGACAATTATGTGCCTGTATGATCATAATGTAGTTAAACGGATTTCTAAAGCGAGATTCTAAAAGAACTGAGAAAAACTGAGAACTAAGGAAAAATGCTGCAGTTCAGTACATTCGCATTATACGTTTAACTAATTGAATATAAAAAATTTATTTAAAAATGTATCAGAAAAGGAAGCCAAACAAGAACATACATTTTGGAAACATGCCTGAATAACAAAACTTAATTTCAAATTTCCTTTAAGCCTATAAATTATGTATACAATTATAGCAATATATTATTGTTTTAATTTAATTATTTATAATTTAAGCACAGATATTATAGCTTTACGATTCATTTAATTTAATCTATAATTATAAAAACAAATAATAGTATTGACAGCTATAAGACGTTTTCTCGTCTTGAATTTGAAAGAGCTATATAAAAGTATATAATTATTTAGAGCTTCATGAAATACGAGTATTTGTACGACTAGTATATGCAGAAATGATTAAAAATATTGAATTTATATAAAAATGAACAGAAGTAAAGCAATTTATTACAAGTTTTGTGTTTTTATTTTTTATGCAGTGTCGCTTTATGGAATAGTTTTAATAACAAAATAGCTTATATTTTACAAACCATTTCTTAGTATTGATTTCTTTTTTATTTTAAATTGTATTTTAGAAGAATTCCGTCATAATCAGATAAAGTTAGGATATGAGAATTCCTGAAAAAAGTTCCGGTTCTTGCTGCCGAAAAACTCGGCCCACGTATTTTCGCAGTCCATGCATGAATGCATTTTTTTTTGACCCAACTAAAACAAAAGGATTTATTTTCCACCAATCTAATATTATTTCGAGCCAGTAGGAACTTGATTAAAATGCGGCCATGCATTTTGACTCTAAAGGCATTTAAACGAATCTCAGCACTGCTTTCAGATATTTGAATTTTATTTCAACAATTAATTAATACATATGTATATATATATAAGATAGGTTTGCATTATAACTATAAATAAACATAGGCCAATAATGTACCCGGTTACAATATACTTGTATGTATGCATATTCAATAGTATATTTTATACAAAAATATAACAGTTAACTGTATGTATATGTATGCTAAACCCAATGAGACGCATGTGCGAGAAGATCAGCTAAAACTAGGGCAAACTTTTAGGCGCTATGCTTAATAAAAATGATCCAACGGACTGCGACAATAAATGGAACAGTTCCGCAGCCGTTGAACGGGCAAGCGTATAACAAATTGATAAACTACATTCTAAGCACATATCATACAGTATAAGGTGAGTTAAAAAGCTATTGAAACAAGAGATATGCACTTAAGTATATGTATATAAGTAATAATATCACTTGCTTATATGCATGGCTGTACATCAATTACCCTCCCACTTCCACGTCCACATCCACATCCACGTCCACCACTCACTGTTCACTTCTTCTTGTAGCCAAACGAGTTGATGGCGTCATACTCGGCATCGCACTTGAGGAGCAGCTGGTACCATTGATCGCCATCGATGCGGGGCAGCTCGAGAATGCCGCCATAGCATGCCGGCAGGCACTTGGGCGACATGTATTTGTGCAGGGAGTCGCGATCCGTGCCATGGAAGATGATGCGACTGCGCAGCTTTTCACGCAGGAACGGCTTAAAGAGCGCAAACACCACATTGAAGATCTTCGGCTGATTGACGATGTGTATGGCTTTTATGCGCAACGGTACCGAATCTTGCAGCCAGTCCACAATGCGCTTGGCAAATGGAGGCGTGAATTGCCAAGTCTGTTGCAAGCTGAGGCCATCCATGTCGAATATGACGACAGCGCCATTGATTTGTGTCTCTGGTTCGAGCATGGCTGCCTCCAAGAAGATGACAGCGCCCTTGAAGACCTCATCGAGCGTGACTTGCTTGTGTTTCCAGCGCTCTGTGTGGACGGACAAAGAGATCATGAGCGTTATATGATCGTCTTCTACAATTAAATGGCGTTCTACTTACTGCCCAGCTCGAGCAGCAAAATGCGACGACCGGCCTGATCACGATTGGGAAACACGGTCAGTATGTTGTGACTAAAGATGTTGGTCTCACGTGTGGGCTTCAAATTATCATACACATCGGCATGCTTCACCTTGAAGGAGTAGTAGCGCTTGATCTATAAAAAAGAAGAAGATAGAAATAGTTAGCTTATGTAGTACATACTTAGTTTGTCATATTGTTGAACTCACCAAATCTCTGGCGCTCTCTGGATAATACTTGCAGGGACGCAAGAAACGTATAAGCCACAGCTCATTATCCTTGGGGCAAGACAAATCGGTTTCCTCTGTAAAAGACAACAAAAACTGAAGTTTATTTTTGCCACATCGGTTAGCTAGAAGTATTCATCATATTATCTACATTTACTGTCCACATTAGTTATATTTATTATCACCATTATCTTAAGTACGCTACTTGTCCCAACCTCAACCTTAGCGTCCAGAGTCCAGTAACAACCCGTGCGTAATTAACGCTGATCTTTGTGCTAATGTTACAAAAAGTCAAAACCTTACTTCACCAGTGAAGTTAAGAAGAAACGAGCTTAAGTAATTGACTGCTATCCACTAATAGCAGGCTCTAATACACATTTTTATGACGTCTATACTATTGTACACTCGTATAGAAAGGGGCGTGCTTAGCAGAGGTCTATATGCTATATGATACCTTTGTATATAGAAAGAGTCGTGCTTAGCTACCCAAACTATAAAGACCCAGCACTTCAAGAAACCTAATATTATAAGACAGCATGTTGTGTATGAAAAAGCGACAATAGACAGGGAAATTAAAGGTCAAATGTATGATTAGTGTCATGCCATTTAAAATAAGTACTTGACTTACAACAGTGTTTAGAAAAAGTGAAGGGATATAAAAGATTTAAAACTGCGCTGAACTGCAGAAATTAAATATAATAATAATGATTTTACTTCCAAGCAGCTGACTTTTGTCTTTAGTTTTTGATTGTTAAAAAAGTCAGTCTATAAAATATGTAGCGAGTTATCATTCACATTTTAAAAATTAACAAATATACTATACTATTTCCTTATGGGGGAAACGTTAGAAAATAATTATAGAGTGGCTACAATTTCCAATTTTTTGAATTTTATTGTAATTTGGGTTGCTCCTTTTCGTAGTTTAAAGCTAAAGTTTAAAGCTCGTTTATTGATCTTAAAATTAGTGGCCCAGTTTAAAATTTGTTCTAAGAGCAACATAGCTGGATTTGTTGTTTCTTGTTCTTTACATTGTTTTCAAATGCTTCCTTTATAATTCTGATCGCATTTATATGTAGATCAAACCTCTGACATACAATCATGACAGCCTGCTGAATCCGAAAATAAGATTTAGAATCGTTTAAATGGAACCATTTTCAATAAGGCTTCTTAGTTTGGAAAAGACTACATTTTATTGGAGGGCAATTAAATGGCATATCAACTATAGGTGGACCGATACATCGGGGTAGATCGAACCATCAATATAATTTTATAAATTTTTTATCGAATATTGAATTCTAAAATTCATATTACGGCTCTCATGTGTTAACTTGCTTGCATCATATTAGCAGTTTTAGTTTAAAACTATTTATTCAGAATTTATAAAGCCTTCTTTAATAAAATTCCCACAATTCATCTTAGTAAGTCAAGGTTTCTATTTAGTTCTAAGTTACACATGTGTAAAAACTGTTAGATATAGCATTCAAAGCCTGTTTTTATAGCTTCAACGTAGAATATATGAATAGATAAACATGCACAAATGTATATGTATGTATAACTAATAATTAGAAACTACTAATTACAAAGCATGACGAAGCACCGATGTTCCCCACTTACAAATTCAGCAGAATTAACAAACGGGTGGGTGTAAAGTGTTTGTTTCAATAGGAGATTGTAGCCAAGTTCGGCGAATGCACCCAATGCTATTGCAAATTAATTGTTTAAAGTTCAATCGGTAAGCTCTTACATGGCAAAGCTAACAAGTTCAATTCCTTAGTGATCTCAGCCCGCAAAAAATGCATCATTGGCAATGTCTATATACTAGTATATATACTTGTATATTGTATACAAAACTTACGTTCTAGGAGCTTTTTCAGCTCTTCCACGGCCTGCTTCTGACGTTCCGGGGACTCGCGGAGCTCCTTGGCGGCCACCTCCTTGGTAGCAGCTGTAGGTTCGCCCAATTCGAATTGTAGCGTATAGTCGCCCAATTGCAGCGAGGGTAGCTCGGATATTTCCGATAGCATCGTGGGTACTCCTGTGAAATAATTTGTAAATTGTTAACTTCGAAAAGAATATGCATACATAGATACTAGCAATTAATATTTAAAATATAATGACGGTAAGTTGCAAAAACAATAACCGTTAGAATTTCTAAATATTTGCAAGGGTGCCCACAGTGTTGTGAAGCGTTATCTAACGCAACATTGCTTGCAGACAGAAGCTAGTTGCTCAATAATTACTCAAGAATATAACCATTTGAATAATTGTTTTGCACCTTACGCTCTCCACTTAAAATTAATTTCAGTTGTCAATTAGTTGGAAAAATATAATAGTTAATTACTTACTCATTTTGTTATTGTTTTTTTTCTATATTCTTTTGTTAATAAACGTTATTATGTGAAGCCGCTGCCTTCAAATTGCTTTGCTGTAATGCGTTTTATTTGATTAACAATTGACGTAAGCTGTTTTTGTTTCTTTTATGACAAATTGTGCAAATTATTTATAGTTAAACAAAAAGCTCGATTTACTTTCAATGAATAACTCAAATTGTATGGAATTTTTTACAGACAATGTAGTCCGCCTTCTCTATCTAACTCTACCCCTCTTATTGGCGTTCGTTTCTTGATCGCTGTTTGTTTATCTTAACCTTGACATTCGTTGCGCTTGCGTCGCGTGTTCATTTCACAATTAACATAAATAACGGTCATCAGATAGTGCAGAAAAAAACGAATTTATAGCCTCCGATTTTGCATCTCAACCGAGATGCATGTCATTGCCGGTTCATTGAAACCAATGCTTTAACATTGTTGTTGCTTTTTGTCGGTCAGCTCGATCTCTTCGAATGCAATTTAATTTGGATAGGAACGGAAGTTAAGTTGAAATGCGATATTAGAGCTTGGGACTAAATTATCATCCACAGAAAATTCCGCAAGATTTTGTCCTGAGTATAACTCTTTTAAGTAACTATGTACATATGTATTTAGGGACTGGCTTGATACGGACTTGTAAGCTAAGTATTTTTATTGCCTTTTAATTTGTTTATTTCATGGCTCTTTGGTAAATAAATAAAATCTCGTAACTTTGTGGCTATTTAATCATTGACTTACTAATATTTATTTTCAACGTCATTTTTAGTAACTGCGAATATACTTATAATATTAATGTCATGTGCGTTTGCTTAAAATTAATAAAAAACAAATATAACAGCAATCATTGAACATTCGAATAAATGCTTTTAATTGCTTAAGAATCAATCAATAACCTTAATTTATTTTCATAACCAAATACCAAATTATCGGCTAAGTGCTTTTGTAATGATCAGAAACAAGTTTTAATTTAATGAGACAGAATTCTTAAATCATCGTGTTATTATTATACAAGTAAGTGCTACTTAAAGTGAATTTGAACATTTTGTATTCTGATTGACTGTTCAATGTTACTTTATACTTTCTAAAAACTTGATGGGAATGATTTTAAATTCAAGTAAATTTCTGTAATGCGAATTATATTATATTATATATCCAATTTTCAAAATTTTACAAAAGATGTAATCTACTTTCAACCACTCAGTTTCAAGTATCCTTGTGATATTGAAAGACAAAAACAATTTAAAGCTAAAATCTTGTTCGCCTGACAAACGCGTCCTCCACGATAGACATAGAATATTAATACCACTAATTATGTTACTATTCTATTGTTACGCCACTAATTTAAAGTTTCAAGTTCGAATTTGAATAACGTTTACGTATTTTGTATGGCAATGTGACGGAATGACCCCAAAAAATTATAGCTCTATTGGGATGGGTCATTGATAAGCCGTGCATTATTTCGACAAATATTTTTAAGATGCCCCGCGAAGAGAAAAAACCCAAAGTATGGCTAATTTTAATAAAATGCACAAAATGTGGTCAACATAAAACAAACAGAAACTTATGAATTGTTAATACGTCTACATAAACTAACCAAAGATATACAAAATAAATAATAGTATTGGATATGTAGTACACACAACACAGATTTAAAACGAGTTTGGACCGCAGAACGTGCGTGAGCGTTAATGTTAATACCAAACGATATAACTTGAACACGAACTTGAAACGAAGACGCGTGCAACTGGGCCGAAAGCGCAGATGAAACTGTTGCGGCCAAAAGCGCGTTATGGAGATTATATGCCAAGTCAAGAATCAAAACTGGAAACTAGCTGCTGGCTGGCTGCTACTTAAGGAGAAGGAGAGCAGGCAAGCCGCTGAACTTGAGCATGTCATTCACGTGCTGTGAGAGCGAGATAGACTCGCAGAGTGAGACAGACAAATCACAAGCGAGAGAGAGAGATGGAGAGGGCAAGTACAAGTGCGAAGCTCAAAACTTGAATGAATTGAGATGTGCATCTGTCGATCGTTCCCATGCCAGAAGCGACCACATTATGTCATTGCGCAGATCCGTTATGCGTTGTTCGCTTAGTGTGACGTCACAAAATGTTGCTGTACCCAACTATGGCTACGGTCAAAGTGTTTTAATTTTAAAGCTGACAATTGAGAAATTTTTTTGTTTCAGGTTAAATATATTTTCTCAATGGATCAGTTTATTATTCGTTTGGCGTTTTCACAAAAAAACTGAGATAAATGGGGGTGTGTGACGTCATGATAGCTTAAGAGGGAGTCCAACCTAGTCTTCTAAGTGTGCGCTGTGATTTGGCCCTGTAGCACCCATTTTAGCATATAATATTCCGTTTCCATTCTTCGTCAATACAAAATTTCGGTTTGTTCTTACAGCATTAATGCCGAACAACACGATGTCTTGCCAATTACCGCAAAACGGCAACCCAAGACAAGTAGATATTTTGTTAATTAATCCAATCTTGCTGATCGCTCAGCACAAAAAGACAGGCTTCTAGGGACCGACACCGTAGCCGTAAAGTAGTGGAAGTCCGTAATGTAGTCGAAAAATGAACGTTTAAATTTATTTATTTATTTGACAGGATATTATTGCTTATGAGAGCACAAATATCAAATACCAGTCACAGTGGGATGACAGAGTACATTAAATATCGCGAACTCACTCACATTATGACGTATGTATCTGTGCACCGAGAGTTATAACATTGCCGTCTTTAATGTCATACCTTCTCTCTTCTTAACATGAACAACGCATTGGGAAATAATGGACGAACATTCGAGTTGCCCCCACACTCTAAAACTCAGTAAGCCGGTTTTTCGTCTCAGCTGTTGCTGCTATAGTTGTTGTTGTTGTTGTAATCGCAAATTCACTGCCACTGGGTATTTCAGCAGACAATTTATTTATAGGCCTTATTTGAACTGTTGGGGGAAACTTATAATTTCTTTCAATATAATTACACGGCAATCATATTACTTTAAGTGTGCAATTTGTTTGTTGCTTCCTATCGCCGTTTTGACCCTGACTTTTTGTACTTTCAATTCCATGCTGTGGGATCAATCGACCAGCATCTAATTACAGCTCTCGAATTCGAAATTATGGGCACGTTTTGAGTGTTCGGCATTTGTTTGGACACGAGCGCTCTTGGATATCCATTCATGCTTTGATGGTTCCGCCAAAACTCTCGATTTCTTTGGGCGTTTTCAAACAGGGTTATTGAACGCTTAAAAAGACATTTGGACTTGTTTGAAAAATTATTTTTTAATTAGTTTGTTGAAACAGTTTGTTTTCTTTTTTATTTGATTATAAATTGATATTTTTCGACCACATTAAGCTAAATTATTAGGGGATTGCTGCTAATTGTATAAAGTAATGGCAACATTAATTGTTTGCTTATTAAAATTGCTTAAAAAATCGACTAAATAATGAATGTTGTATTTTAAAATGATAAGAATAGAACTCAATTACTGCTTTTGTGATTTTATTTATTGAATTGGGTTTATTAGCATAATCACATATGTATTTGTATAATCTCATTTAAATCTTATTTAACGCTGCAAACAACAACTCAGATGGCCTCATGATGAGAGTGTCGATTTGGGGCAGAAGTTCTGATTGTGATTGAGAAATGTAAGTACCAGAGAATTTTGGGCACCTGGACACTGGGAACTTTTGTAATATGAGCCCCTTTAATACCACTCACAAAGAGCATAAAGTTTTTTGCTCTAAGACGAGTAAATTCTTAAAATATGAATGGTAGTTTATGAAAAGTCGTATATAGAACGCTTCCCTTTTACAAATGTTTTGGTTTTGTATAGAAAAGCTCGCCGACTTCAATTATGTTTATTCTAGAATTAGTACTTGTATTAAACCATGAATTACTAGAGGAGATATTAACCAGATTAAACTAAAAGCCTTTAAGTGAATTATGACATTTAAATTGCATTGTGTCCATTTTGTTCAAGTCTTGAGCCTTGAACCTCTCTCCCTCCGCGCTTCTCACATTAAGTACATTAATCATAGCTTCCAAGCATTTTATTCTGCTCGTTTAATGCTTTCATGTGCACAGAATTATCAGAAAAACCACACACTATAAAAAAATGCCCACTTCTTTACATTCTGTGAAACTTTTGCAATCTTGCTTTGTAATGATGACGCATGAATGCAAACTAATTTCACAAGCATTCACTTCACTGGCAAGTTCAATGCTAAAGATACCTTTTTTAAAAAACCCATTAAAACCGCAACAAGAAACTGCAATGTCAACATCGAGGTACACGGTCTTCAATGTCAACAAAAACTCTTAGCAAAAAATCATTTACGCACATTACTTGGCAAGGGCAAAAGCAAATTATTTAAAAGTGCGCTGACCCCCATTACAAAATTTATAAAAAAGGGGAATATGTACCTACATATATGTAGACATACATATGTATGTTTTGTTTATGTACATAGTTTGTATATGTACATATATTTAAGCAAATAAAGTTATGAAAGCTTATGGGATGCTAAGGATGACCAACTTTTATAGACAACTAACAAAACATTTTCTATTAACTTGTGCAACATTAAAAAATACATTTTGGCTATGAATATGTTTTAAACACATAAGTAAGTATCTTGGCACCTAGACGATAAAAAGCGATGTCAAGCCGTTTTAATTAAAAATGGCGAATTAAACAGCGTTAAAGTTGCTTTCAATGCGCAATTTAAAAGTAATTTATTATATGCACAGCATGATCTGTTCTAAAGCATTTAAAATCATAAAATGGCAAACAATTTATGATATTCTTTCTTATAAATTTTAGCTACAAAACAAGTACATTAATAAAATTTAATTAATTTTAATGTATAGGAAATTTGAAGATGATGCTTTTTGCTGCAGCTTTGTTAAATTCTGGGACTCAATGATATTTTAAGTGAATCAATAAAATAAACTTAATATATTGAGGTGTTTTTCCCAGAAAAATTATTCAATCAATAAAAATTAATTATATTTATTTTTAACAACAACTTATTTTCATTTATTTTAAATTAAGTACTTCGAACATTGGCTGAAGACAAATTGCCTGGATTATTGAAGTTCTGTATATACGGCTTTTCGAACTTTTCGTTTTTCCATTTTGGTTTTTGGGAATAAATTTTTTTTCAGGAGCATACTTTGTTAATTATCTTTTGAATATGTTTCTTACAATGCATGTCCGTATACATACATGTACATACATATATCGTACACCTTTTATATATTTATATATGTATGTATATACATTAATGCATGTACAACACATTTTCCTATACATACATATGTACATACACACACACTGACTCACCCGAATGCATATCTGACGCCTCGGCCCTGTTTGCCGACGCTGTAGCCGGCAACGTTGCTGCACTTAACATTAGCATGATGATGCACAGATAATTTTCGAATGCGATGAACAATAAATTTAGTACTTGTTTTGTGTTTGCAAAGCGCAAACAGTATATGAAATGTACTTATTTATTTACGATGACCAGCATCCAGTATTTAAATACGTATGCAAGTTCGTATTTTTTTTCTTCGAAATCGGAGACGCGCCAACCAAAAATGGAACTCGAACTCTCACACTCAATTCTGTAAATGGGTCAATGCCAGCATTTTAATGTACTTTATATGCTCTCTCCTGGCCTGCTTGCGTGCCTTTTTTTCTCACGTTTACACGCGTCCTAACAACAACGACCTTATTACAACAATGTGAAAAAGAGAAGAGAGGGGGGAGAGAGAGAGGAAAGAATAAGCGATGTAAAGCAACAAGTCGCTGTTGTTGCCCTTTTATTGTTGCTGTTGCTGCAGACATTGACTTTGTAAATTATGCAAAGCCCCAAAGAGGCACACAAAGCGCACTTGATGATAATTATAAGCGGGAAAAGGCAAGTGCAGTGGAACAGCGCGTCTAAATTCAAATCGAGCTGTCACACGAGAAGTGTGCAAAAACACATTAAGGGTATTCCTGAAATCTGTTTATGATTAGATGCAGCCGATCAGCTGTTGCCAGCTGCTCTAACCCAACTAGCAAGCCCTACCGACACACAAATTGCTAAAACAGAAACAACCTAGGGACAGATTTGAAAATTTATATGGATTGTCTAGATTACTAGAAAGACAATTTGCGTTGCATTTATCGTATTCTCAGCATTTAACATGCACACAATCTTAATGTTTGTATTGAGATTGCCGTATGTAGGCTGCTGGGTCTAAAACAATTAATTTAAATCATTTACATTTTGTAAAACAATTTAAGGCAATCTACAGCTGTTTAGCGAAATCAAATCGTAAACACAATGCAGGTTTTGTTTATGTTTTATTTAAAGTAAAATCGAATCTTCATTAGCCATCAGGAATACCCGTAACGGCGGCAAAGCATGCGCGCGCACCTGAAACACAATGTTGCGTGGTGTTGGAGCAGAATGAGAGAGACAGTAAGGACTCACAACACATACATATGTATGGATAGGACTTTATGTAATCCGAAACAAAATCATAACAAACATTTGAGCACTCACCTAAAATGTAAAGTGTAGGGAGAAAGAGATCCTTTATTTCACTTCAATTTATTCTTAATATTAACAGTCACCGGCACAGTTGTTGTTCATTTATTTTAAACAATTTTAAAGTTGTTTATTTTTGTAGCCACAGCAATTAAACACAAAACTCTGGTCTACTTTGCACTTCACGTTTTCAAAGACTGAAAATATAATGCTGCCTAACAAACGATTTTATACCAGTTTGTTGGGGTATGCATCAGACGTGTGTAGCAAAAATAATCAAGAAAAACATTCGACCACAATAAAACTACGTGAGATATTATACAAATATATCTTATACATATGTATGTATATAGTACAGATTTTATACCCATATGAAGCTATGCACATACATACATACATACATACATAGGGTATTGTAACAAAGTCAGCAAGTGTGAAAGTGCTGGCTTGCATTGTGAATTTACTTAGCAGAAATTTTAATAAATATAAAACAAAGCAAAAGTGCATGAGCAAGCTTAGGCATACATGGGTGAGTGTCAAAGTTTAACTGACCACTGTAAACAATTGCCTTTTAAAAAGAAATCCCGCGAAAGCGAACAACTTTCATATAACACTAAAACAGTGTACGCTAGTTTTAAAAACTACTGCCGTTACATATAAAGCTTTTTTATGTTTTCCAATATGAAACCATTTAATTTTGTGCAAACAAAATTAGGATATCACGTTTCAGTGCGAGATTTTGAAATTAAATATATTTTATTGTGTTTTTGTATGACTAATTTCTAATTTAGCTCTAATTGTTACAAATACTATACAAACATATATTGTCGCATGAAAACTTCTTTTGAATATAAGCTAGGTAGCAAATAATTATTGGTTCCGGAAATCAGTGGTAATTGCGCAAGTATATGTATAATTTAAAGTTTGATATTATTTTTCCCATAGAAAATGACAGACACTTGTTTCAATAATTGTGCTTTCGAACATTCCTTAAGGGAACAGCAAGTCTTTACGGTACACAACTAATTTGCAAATAAAGTTTTTAAACAAGCTACTTTTAGATGGCTAAAAACAAGAAACTAAAATTCACTTTTCGATTGGATTTTACTGATCCAAATGAAAATATTACGAATTTAATAGTGGTCTGGCTTTACTTTTCGATATATCGAGCGTGTCATCCCATTTGCGATTTCAATTAAATTTGTTGAAATCAATTTGACTAATTTTCCAATATTCACAAAATGGGAAAATTATTCTTATTCATGTCCAGTAACTACCTTACTGTGAGGTATAATTCTATTTTACCATCAAAATGAATCCATAATAAGAATAATAATGAATAATGAATAATAAGATATATGTAGCACTCAATTCCAGTAGATGGAAATTTTTCAAGTATAAGCTACATTGACTTTCGCATTAGGAATTATGAAATTTATATTAATTTATGAATATTAATTTAGGTCTATTTTGTTTAAAGTGTACCCGATTTACACGACGGGGTTTTATCATTAATTGTTTAACTTTCTGAGCAAATCCACTCAAATCGAAGTTGTTTCTATCGTCTAACGTTTTATCATCTGTACCATTTACTAATAGTACTATGGTCCGTCGTGCGTGTTACGGCCACTTCTTTGGTTCAGTGTATTTTTAAAGCGCGGCACATAAAAGCCAGAGGTTTTTAGCACATAGACTTGAACTTTAAGCCACAAGTACACAGATACATGTACATATATAAAATAACAATAATAACTATTCGTTTAATGGCTGGCTTGCACATACAGATTCAAAAACTTGTTATGAATCTCGTAATAGAGACAATTTAAGCTGAGCTATGTTTTAATAACTCCTGGGGTTCAACAGTTAAAGGCGCGCACATTTCAATCTTTCTAATCTAATAATTACCGGAGCTAAGCACGTCGCCAGATTCAGATCCCAGACTAGACCCAACTTGCGTGTCTACGTTCCAATGTACAACTGACGATAATGCCAAATCATCGCCTTCGCGTAAAGCACCGGCCAATTAATTAAGTATTTCAATTGCAAAATATACTATTTCAATTTCATTTTCTTGCCTTTGCGTTTTCCTTTTAAGTATCACATATAGTACATGTATAAACTTACTATGTATATATATACATATATAAGTATGTTACCTGTTCATTCTGCTTTACGTGAATGCTCGCGTTTCTCAGCTCCGCCTCCGTCTTGGTTCCGATTTCCGTTCAATGTTCAGTCTGTGGGCTACGTCAGCAAGTTGTGAAGTTCAACGCCACATCGCATACAATAATAGTTAGTGCCCATTATATAGTGTAATTGGTATTACTTTTTGTGTGCTGATGTTCGAGTTTAATCAGTTGATGGCTTCAATCAATTTGTAGCTGGCACGACAGGAAGCAGTTCGATTACAAAAATAAAGGTGTTCATTACATAGATATTTATTAATTTATAGTTTATTATAATATTCACTTGATATTATATACACCCGTATATATAGTTATTGGTTTTAAGTACAATGCCATTAGAAATGCGTTTCTTATGTTGCGACAAATTTGCCGAATATGTCAGTATAATAGTTTTTGGCGCACCTTAATCTCGTCTAATTACAAATAAAAAGATATTAAAATTATGAAAGCAGTGAGAAGTCGCAGAAGAGACATTATATTTAAACTTTAACGCCTTTTTCTAAAATGTAGAAGACATTTTAAGCAAGATACATAAATCTCAGGCGACTGTATAATATAATTACAATTCTGACTTCTTAGCATTTGTAAAAATTATGAAAAAGTTGCCCGTTGGACCACAGCTTTTAAAACCTATCTTAGAGTACATGTAGTTTCCCTGTCGGATACTATTACACGTTTAACGCTTGTGGTAAGACTGACATTGTTAATGGGAACAATTGGGTTGCTTGATTGATTTCATAGTGTATATGTTTTAAATGTCACTTAAAATTAAGCTCTACCTATTTCCTGCTACGTCCTATTAATCCCTCCTATGCTTTAAGTAGTATTGTCAAGTGTAAAAGTACATTTTACTAAACCCAAAAGATAACTTAAAAATTGTGCTTTAAGTATTGTTGATAAGTTACAATTTTTACTATCTTATGTTTTCACGTACAACTAAAAAAGCGTTCCGAAATGTTATACTAAAAGCTTAGACTAACTAGATAAAGGTATGTAATCTAAGAAAATCATTAATACATATGTCAACGATATTCAATTCTAAAGTCTTTAGTGTCTTTCACAAATTGGTTGATTGGTTGGACTGAAATAAAACGGCTTATATACAGTGTAGAAACAAAACTGTCAAGGACGCCACAAGTCTGAAGACTTCAGTTGTGACCTCAGCTGCGATGTTGTGGTCTTATCCTTGAAGTTTAGGGTCATTTAGGTCGTACTTTCTCGTACATGAACTTTTGCAAATGCTTATTATCTGGCTGCATTAGCTTCTTTTTATTAAATTCAAACTGCGCCAACGCGAATTCGTATAAATTGTTTTCCATTTGCCAGATTTTCGATTTCATAATGGTTTCCACTGTCGCCTCACTGGGTGGTAATTTCGAAGACGTTACACGCAGATGCGACTTATTCGAGTTTTGATAGTGTTCGCGAAAACCCCGAAAAATGCTGCGAATGACATGAAATGAGTCGATACAGGGTAGTTACAAGTATTAAGAAATGTCTACTTACCGGGGCAGCGAACGCTCAAGCAGATCTATAAATTCATACATTTGCTCAGTCACACCGACTAGAAAATACTCATTTACCAGATTGCGTTTGGCCTGAGTTAAGGCCCAATCACTGCCGGGTTCCCTGTGAAAAAGCAATCGTATAATTTGTTTGGCATAGCAAGAAATAAATTAAACCAACCAGCACTCGGCAGCATGGCCACAAAAGAAGGGTATTTGCAGCCACATATTCTTGGGATCACAGTCGGGCTGTTTTTGCACAACACACTCATCGAACGTCTATCAAAGAAGGAGAAGCGCTGTGTAAAAGTTTCTTCTTTTAATAAAGTTTGCTTACAATTTTATTGCCCGCCTTTTTGCGCACTAAGTTTGGCCGATAGTTATCACCATATCGTAGAAAATAGTAGTAAGAGATAAGTCTATCCAAGGGTTTACGTACTATGTTTATATAAATGGGCTTGTGCGCGATTTGAAATCTGTAAGCAATAATAAATAAACAAACATTACGAATGAAAATAAGCTCTGATATTAGATACTTACTTAGAGAAATCCAAAAAAGATATGTGCCCGTGATATAGTGCAGGTTTCATTTCATGCCATTTGGTTATATTCCGTACCAGAGAAATCTAAATAAATCAATGGAGACTGAAGTTGGCCGGATTGTTATGCATAAATTAGCAATTCGAAACACACCTGGTTAGGCAGGGATAGCACATGCATATTTGACGTCACATTAATATGCAAGACATGATATTTATTTTGCTTGCAGAGATCATAGGCAATGTTCACAAAGCTAGTGGATCCTGTTTTTGGCACCCGATTATATAGCACTACCAATTGCTCCTCATAGTCGTAATTATCCAAAGTCGCCACTGTCGACGCCGTACCTGCTGCATTGCTTGTAAGTTTGCTTGGCAACAGCCTGGTCCCTGCGTTAACAAATAAATCAGTACATCCATCCGTATCTTTTTCATTCAGTTTTATTTGTAGGGTTTTCGGGAAAGCCCTAAAATATTACACTCACACTCACCATACATATCCAAACGCTTGGAGCACAACCATACAACACAACTGCAGGCAAAGATAACGGCGAGCAGCAGCCAGTGCGCAGGACGTAATTGCGTAAACATTTTGCGCAGTTTCTTATGCATTTTTAGCATATGCTCATGAAGATTCCCATTTTTAGGTTGAATTTAACTAAATAAACTCATGTTTATTTTTTCTTTCTCAGCAATTGTGCAGAGTTGCCAACAAACGAACAAGACAGATGTGCGTGACTAGTATTGCACAACTTTTCAAAAAAAAAAGTGCGAACGAGACAACTACATTCTCCGATGCAGCTGTCAAGAAAGCGGTGCAGCAGCTGCAAACGAACGCGCCGTTCCAGCGCTTTGCGAGGTTAAAAAAAATTTCGCAAACGCCGCAAGGAAGTACAGTGTTTGCTTCTGTCAGTTTTTATTATTATTTGAGATTCATTAATTACAATACACAAAGCGCGGCTATGGCAAATTTAAGTTACAATATAATGGCCGAAGAAGGTGTGGAATTTCAAGATAAAGCCCTAACTTGGGATACAGCCGAGCATGGTAAGTTAAAAGGCCTTTAAATTGAAATTTTTTTGTATACATACGTACATATGTATGTATTTGCATATGTATAATACAAATTACAGTCAAGGATGTTGTCGAAGCGCTGAATAAGAAGAAGAATGTGCACTTTCTAAAACTGGATGGCAACACGTTGGGTGTGCCGGCAGCCAAAGCCATTGGCGAGGCTCTGCAGCGGCATCCGGAATTTCGAAAAGCGCTGTGGAAAAATCTGTTCACGCGCCGCTTGAAGACTGAAATTCCGGAAGCCCTAAAACATTTGGGTGCCGGTTTGATTGTAGCTGGCGCCAAACTGACGGTGCTCGATTTGAGCGACAATGCGCTAGGTCCGAATGGTATGTTGGGCCTGGAGGAATTTCTCCGCTCGCCAGTCTGCTACACACTGCAGGAGCTGCATTTGAACAATTGTGGCCTTGGCCCTGAAGGTGGCACCATGTTGTCGAATGCGTTGCTGGACTTGCATGCGAATGCCCAGAAGGCAGGTACGCCGTTAAAATTACGCATCTTTGTAGCCGGTCGCAATCGTTTGGAGAATGTTGGAGCCAAAGCGATGGCAAACACATTCAAGACACTGAAAACGCTGGAGGAGATTACCATGCCACAGAATTCAATTTATCATGTGGGCGTGGCAGCACTGGCTGAAGGTTTCAAACATAATCCTAATCTACGCGTCCTTAACTTGAACGACAATACGTTGAGTGTAAAGGGAGCAGCCAAAATTGCTGAGGTGTTTCCGCATACGCCGCTGTAAGTTTAAGAAACAACTAGAAGCTATTCATATATATATATAAAATAATTATTATAGGCTCCGCGAAATAAACTTTGGTGACTGCCTGATTAAGACTGATGGCGCCTATCACTTCGCTGATGCCTTGGAGCATAGTCAGGAGCATTTGGAAGTGGTCGATCTAGGCTTTAATGATATTAACTACGACGGCGGTCTTATGCTGGTGACGGCAATGCAGAACAAGACCAAGTTGAAGGTTTTAAATTTAGATGGAAATTGCTTTGGCAAATCCGGCTGCGCTCAGATTGTGCATGGAATGGCGAAGTGCAAAAATCCAGCGGCATTGCAAGGCTTCGATGAGGATCATTCCGAAGACGAAGACGACAATGCCGACGAAGACGATGATGATGATGAGGAGGAGGAGGATGAGCGAGAAGATGCCGAGGGTGAGGAGTATAGTACAGAATACGGGGAAGACGACTATGATGAATACGAACATGATCATGGCAACGATACCACTGAAGAAGCTGATGAAGACGACGAGGACTATTCCAACGTGGCCGAAGAAACAGCCTATGTTACTGTCAATCCCTACACAACAAAGGTGCGTTGTCATATTAATAATGAATCTTAAATGAATGGGTTGGCTTTGCAGATTTTTGACGAAACCGTCACTTCCACGAAAGGCGATACCGCTACCAACAACAACGGCAACATTTTTGCCAATGGGAAGCCAACGAATGCTTTCAGCGCTGAACAGTTTTGTTTGAGCCAAACGCCTTGCACGCAGCAGCAATTTGATTCCTTGGAGGCGGACAATAAGCTGCAGGCTCTGCAGAATGTCATTAATGTAAGTTGTCTGTTCAAATGCAAAATGTCAGCTGCTAACATATCTTATATCTTAATCAACAGCAATTCAGCGATGACAATCATTTATTGCTGCTCATATTCACAACTCTCAAGTGCTCTCACCTCTCAAAGACCTCGAAGGCCGCCTTGGACTTGGCCGTGTCTCTCTATCAGGCCACATTTGACTATGCTGTGAAAACACAGCAGGAAACCCGTGTGCTGGACTATTACCTTAAGCAGTTGCGTTTGCTGCACAGCGAGGAGCCCTTCAAGTCCGACTACGATGTAAAAAGCTGTCGCTATGCCTTGCGCGAGGCTCTGTCCAGACAGCAGTTTGCGAACGATAATGTTAAGAATACGTTTAAACTATTTCTTGAAAAACTGGATGTCTCGAACGTACCATATCGTTTGTAACGTGTGAATTTTGATAGTAAACGTTCCATAAGTATAACAATATACATTCATAGTTGTGCCATGTTCCCACAGGTCGTGCCATCTAGTTGGCCGTTCCTAAATGTTTTTGATAGGATGGTTTCTTTTGACACATAACACAAATAACTGTAATCTTCTTTAAGAATGTATTGCAGGTGAAAACATTGCATATGTAAATGTAAAAGTGTAAAGGAGTGTTTTATTATTTAGGCCCAAAACACGAGAGTATAACACACATAAATTGTACATTTCATTTCGTTTAATAGGTAAAGAAATAATCTATTATCTGCCCTTAAGCGTCGGTCACACATGCCAATAATTACCACATAAAATAGTGCAAATTTTTGAAAGAAGAAACCCATGTAGTTTAGTATTTCTATTGGTTGCAATTGAAGTAGAATAGTATTCAAATATAATTATATTCTTTTGTCAAATTCGAATAATGTCCGTGCAAATTATTGGCTTGTCTGGCCATAGCCCTAAACTACTTTTGTACTTCAAAACCTCAACTGATGTTTTTTTCGAACATCATTTATACAAAACCTAGAAAACGTTGATAGTCTAGTAAGCTCTCCAATTTGGGGTTTTTTAATACAAAGGTTAACACTTGGTTAACTAAAGTTTACCTTATTAATTGGACAAACTTACTAATTATGCAAAATACGATGCTTTAACATAAATTTGTTTTAGTAAAATTTTGTAAAACACGTTCAATTGAAGGAAAAGAACAATTTTAATGTGGAAAACAATTTCCCTTCTTTTTCAATCAATGTTAACTAAGTTTTGTATAAATGACACTTAGCTGGTATTTTTACCCGAATTGTTTGCCTTCTCAGCAACGTACACGCGCCGGTATTCGTTTCATTTGATAATCCTCTCCGACCTTAAGAACAGCTACCATGCCTTGAACGGCATGCGACTCAATGTGGCAATGATAGAACCAGAAGCCGGGATTATCTGTTATGAAGCGCACTATCACGTAACCCATTGCGGGAAGCTGGACAGTATCCTTCGCCACAGCTGCAAAGTCGTCCGACAAGCGTGGCAGGCGTCCACGGCGATCCAATTCGCGCACCTGTACAAATATATTTAAAAAAAACCATCAATCTAGATATTACTATAATATAAAAGTGATTAACATCTAGCATTTCTGGTACTGGACCGCACAAAGACGAATATTTCGAACCCAGAATTTTTACATTTAATTCATAAGGCGGTGTCCCTATGTCTTATAGTCTCCGTGATAGATCTGATTAAAGGAACATTTTTCTGACATTTCTGCGACTAGAACTCACATTTCGCAAGTCGCTTAAATTTCCCAAAACGCCCTGACCAACAAGTCGAAAGGTATAGCCGTGTATGTGCAGTGGATGGGTTTGATCCATATAGTTAACGATGACCATTTCGATGGGTCTAAAAGCGGGCAGACGTATGACATTCAGACACTCGCACAGTTCCCGCTCACAGTTACGTCCTTGGGCAGCCAGGGAGCTGCGATTGCAGAAATATGTATCATCCTTATAGAGTTGACGGCCCTGGAGCAGCGAAATAGTTGGAGGATTATAGCTAATGTCGTCGATTTGGAACAGTTGTTCCCCATTGGGCGCCATGCGGAAGCCAAAACTAGAGTAGTAGGTGAGAAATTTGGTGTAGCGGGGCCACGGTACAGGTTCCAGGGAGCGTAGAGCCACAGTACCCACATTAGTGTCCTTTTCGGCAGGAGTCTGGAGCAAGTTTGAAACGTTTGATGGCGCAAAACGACAATCGTTGATAAAAAATGGGGGCTCATCCTCTTCTTCTTCTTCTGTGGTGTGCTGACGGCGCTCTCGGGAATTTCCAGCTATGGGTCCCACTGGTAACTCAGTTCGGGCCGCACCTCTATAGCTCAGAACAGCACCCTGATATAAATTGCGTTCGGCACAGTCCTCGAAACCACGCACACGTATCCAATAATTCTTGGCATATTGGTTGGCTTCCAGCACGAAATCGAAACGTTCGGACGAAGTTAAGAAAAATCCATCAGCCAGTACGGGCTCTATATCGTTGCCATCAGTGCTAATGATGAGCAGCTTGTGCCCCTCAACTGAGAATTCGACGGGGCAATTGAAGACTCCATTGCTGATCACACGCATCCGGTATCTGTAGCCGGGAGTGACACGCAAGCGCTCGTACCGATGTCGATTGTCTGTGTCCGGCAGTTGGTTGAGATGGTTGCGTCCTTTGCCGTTGATCAGGATATTCCGCACCTGTTGAAAGTTGTAGTCGTAGAGTATATCCTGCACCATCAGAGCATGCTCGATCAGATCGTAGTCGTAGAGCTGGGCATGAAGATTGGCCTGACGCGACTGCCTAACTATTAGATTGCCGGCCAAGCCCAGTCCGCGTTGCCAGCCCACATGGCTGTGATACCACAGGGAACCGCTGCGATCCACCTTGAACTCATACCGATAGACCTCTCCGGGCTGCACCGGGTACTGCGTGACGAATGGGGCGCCGTCGAGCTCAGGCGTGCGCGACATATGGATGCCATGCCAATGAATGGTGGTTGCCTCGCCCAAATAGTTCAACACATCCACTATCATCGTATCGTTCTCACAGAGCTCTATGGGAGGCCCTGGCACCTGGCGATTTACGGCCATTATGGGACTGGGAACACCATCGCCATAAATGCAACGCTCCCCGGCGCACGCCCGTTCATCATACTGACAACGCTGGCACTCAGGACCCAATCTGCGATAGTTATGCACCACCAGTTGATAGTAACAGCTTTGGGATTGGCCCTGTTGGCAAACGCGACGACACGGATGACGCTCAAAGTCTCCATAATTCGCCAGGTCCACATCTCTATAGTCGTCCTTGAGCTTAAGACTTTGGTGCGGAGAGTGCTTGGGACTCCAGAGACCAAAAGGCCAGCCAAACTTGCCACCTCCTAAAGTAACATTGCTTTCCAAATCATTGAGCTCCAATTGCGCATTTGCGAAGCCCAGGCAGAGCAGGAATATAAGCCAAGATACGAAACCACATCGACTTTTACTTTCGCGTTCGCGCCTCCAGTTACTACCGATCATTTCAAAGTTTGGCAAAGAACTGCGGCTACGACTTCACCGCCACGATCGAAGAAAGTTTCGGGGCGATGCGATCTATACGCATGCTCGGCACGTAGCCGTCCCACAAAAGGTGAGCTGCATTTAATGGACACTTAATCGGTGCCATCTATAAATGGTTTGTAAACGCACTTTGGTCACCCAAAGCTCGACAAGAACTTAGTATTACTATTCGTAGGTAGAAGACATACATTTTATAAAAATAAAGCTACCTAAGTGATAATAGAGTATATGTATACTTGTAAATATGGCAAGTGGCCAGCTGGTGAAATAATGTAATTTAATTTAATTAATTGATGGTTATATTTGCTGACCTATTTTTGTAGAAGGTACAAGGTTTGTTTATGTAATTACGCTGCTTATAAATGCCATAATTCTGATGTCTTTATTATGATATTACACACAAATAATTAATTAAATAAAATATTGTGATATAGTACGAATATTTTTATATATTTTTAAGTATCTAATAAATCAAATATATATTTTGGCGACCTTTTTGAATTGAATTTTACATGGTACGAGTATCAATTTTTATCCGAAGGGTGAAAAGTTATTATGAAATAATTATGTTTTTGTAACAACCAAAATTAATGGTAACAGACAAGAATAGATGCTCGTCTTTCTGTACGAACGCAAGTATCTTTAAGAATATTGCCAGGAAACGGAAAACAACAAGTTCTCGACGCATCCCCCTAACCCTACCGTTTTACTACAACCGTGTAATGAAATTATATTAATTATTATTATTATAGCTGCGATTTTTCATACCCGTTATAAAAAAATGTCTTTAATTGCATACAGCAATCCAACGTTTTATTAAAAAGAAATAACCAATTTATAAATGTAATGGACAAGTTTTCTGCTAAATTAAATCTAGGAAATTTGGGCACAGTTTTTCTTTCGCAGTGTAGAAGTGGATTTGGATAATTCGAACTTCAAACTTGATTTATAAATGTATGTTAAGAAAGATACAAAACAACAACACGCAGCATTCACATTTCTTTAATTTTCTAGGGACAAGATTTATTGGTGATTTCCTTTCAGCATCCAAAAGCACAGCAGAAATTTCATCTCAAGTTTTCTTTACCAAAATCAAAATAAATCAACAAAATACGAGTGAAATCTGGGCCGCTTGATGTCGTAATTCGCAACATTTCCATGTTATTCGAAGATTTCACATACCAGGCGAGCATAAATGAACAGCTAGTCAAACAGCTGGCAGAGATATGTACGAATTATGAATGTAAGCAGAAATCAGCTGTAACATTAAATGGCAACAACAGTGCATACCGAAATGTAATCAAAATGCATTCCTAAATGTAAACAAGCAAAAGCAGCTGGCGAAAAGATGGCTGAATTATCCTAACGGCGCTTTTCAAAATGTAAACAAACCATCTGCCCCCCTATTGGTTGTTTTATAAAACGTTCATAAAACATGGCTGCCTAATTCTTACGGTATAGAATTCAATTCTGTAAGAATTATCCAAAATATTCTGAAATTAAATTATTTTAAGATTCAATGATTAAATATATTCCAAAATATTTAATTAAACAAAAAAATGTTAAATGTATAGCTAGTTTAAAAACATTGACTGTTACTCCAAGGATAATTTAGCTTGAGTTCGTTTTGACTTCTTTAATCATTTATTTAAGGAAAGTACAATCGCCTCATTGGACATAAGGAATACAATTAATTATAAAAAGGTGTACAATCTCTTTGCATCATTTCTAAAAATGATTACTTACGACTGGGATAAATTAAAATATCGTTAGTGTTAATTTTATGTACAAGCTGGAAGAATTGTTTCTAAAATATTTAAATAGGGTACCCGTTTTTTTTTTTTTTTTGTTCAAATTGTTAATCATTTATTGATATTTAAAGATCTGCTTTTCTTACAATACTGTTACTATTTATTAGTAATTAATGATCCATTGTTTAAATAAAAAACCCACATTACATGACGTAAAATACAATTTATTTACATTTAAGAAAGTAGGTATTATGAAACTACATAGTACGTATGTTGCATGTGTTTATATGAAACATGGAAATATATAGTTGTTGGTGGATGTTTTCAATTACACTACACATTATGATAGAATGTTGCGAAGTTTTTCAATAAAACCGACGGATAGAGGTGTGAGAAAATTAATAATAAAATAGAAAACTATACTTTGGATGTTTTATGTGCGAAAAAAGGATTGCAACATTCGAAATCTCCTATTTAGATATTATGTTTTTAAATATATGTAAATGGTATTTCTTAAACTACGTCGATTGCAGGGATTTTGAATACTTTTTCATTTGAAGTAATACAAGTTTGTTTTTTGTTAAAAAGGGTAAATATTTTTATAAAAATTTACCGTTTTATATAGAAAATTAAAATTTCAACTGTTGCTAATGACGCGTAAAAGTAAAAACATAAATTACAAAACACAAAATAAAGGAAATCGAAAAAGAAGAAATTAAAATCACGCGCTATATAAAACATTTCTATCCATGAATTTATCCCTCGAAATCGGAATCATCATCCTCATCATCCAACACCACAGAAGCGTCGCTATCGCTGTCGATAATGCGAGTCTTTTTGGCGGGTGCCTTTTTCGCTTTGGCACCGCCGCTGCTATCATCGTCGCGGGCCCGCTTTACTGGGCGCTTAATAGGCGTTTCATCTATTTCCTCCACGTCTTCATCATTCTTACTGCTGCCGGATGCATTAGCTTCATCCCCTCCCTCCTGCTTCTCCTCCTCTTCATCCGAAAGCAAGAATGAGTAATTTATTTTCTTGCTGGCGGCCCGACGACCCGGACGGTCGGCACGCGGTTCTGTAACCTCCACTTCCATCTCATCGGAGTCCAGATCACTGTCGTCGCCCTTCTTCTTCTGCAAAAAGAAACCATGTTATTTAAAACGTCTGTTAATTAATGACCAGTTCAACCCACCTTTGATTTGCTAAAATCAAGCTTGCCCTGCTTGAGGCCATCGCCGTTCTTCTCCTTCTTTTGGCGCGGTTTCTTCTCGCCTGGTTCCTTCTTGACGCCCTTGGCGGCCGGTTCCTTTTTAACCTTGGGAGAGGTTTTCGAGCCGCTTTCAACAAGCGCATCGAACTCATCGACTTCTTCGCCTTCCTGCTTTTCAGTCTTGATCTTGACGGCCTTGGGTTGCTTAGCCCTGGCCGTGGCAGCATTGGCGGCTTGGAATTTCTTAATGATTTCGTCGGTCACCTTGAACTCGACCTTCTCGCCCAGGGGATCGGGGAAGATGTCATCGTTACCAGAGCTGCCCTTGTTCTTGGCCCGCTTGCCAGGCACTGGTTTTTGTCCCTTCATGGCCTTGGCTTGTTTAATGTTAATGCCCATCTCGTCGGCGCGTTCCTTTTCCTCGACTTCATCAAGTTTCTTTTCGAGATCATCCAAATCGTCGAGCCATAGCATCTGTATAGACTTGCTCTTGAGGTTCTCCAGTTCGGTCAGCTTCTGGTCGCGCTGCTTTAGCAGCTCGTTTTTGCGCTCCTCCGTCAACATCCACATAGACATGCCGAGCAGATAGTCGAACTTCTTTACATCCGACAATTTCTGGAAGGCCTTTTCAGGATCCACCTCCTTTTTCGGCTTTTTACCTGCACCGCTGGAAGCACCTTGTGCTTCCTCCTCTTCTTCTTCGTCGTCGGCCGGTTCGGCGTCTTCCATTTTAATGCGACGCTGCCATTCCTTGACCGGATCTGGCCGATATCCACGCTTTATTAGCTCATCGATCATTACCTTACGCTGCTTGTTCTCTACCACCAGCTTCTTCTCGCATTTCTCCAAAATGAAGCGCGCCTGATCGGTCAAGCGATCCGCTTGTGCCGTCAACTGGCCCACCAGATAATCCTTGCGCCTTCCGTAGTATTCCAAACGTAGATTATAGAACTCATTTAGTATGTCCGTTGGTGTGGCGTATCGACGCAGGCAATTGTTCTCATCGAATGCGTGCATCTGATTCGTGGAGATCGAAGAGGAAAGCTTGAAGACGCGATAGAAACCGCCGTCCTCGGCCCGCAAACGCTGGAACTCACCGGGCGCAAAGCTGACAACAAAGCGAACTGTTGTGTCCGTGTGGAACTCACGATATTCGGATACAATAGCCTTGACCTTCTCGGTGCCGCTAGACAGGGGTTCGAGAACATTTTCCTTGTAATTTTGCGTCCAGGTACCAATGGGCAACTCAGTGATCTCAATACGATCGCCTGAGAGCAGCTGAATGTTACCGGAGTGCACATAACGTCCATCGGACACATATTCCATTTTGCCACGGAAGTTCTTGTACCATGGATGCATTGGTAGAGGCTCCTCACCATTTAGAATGCGCTTCAAGTTTCTGATTATGTCACGCGGATTGTAGTTGGCTATTTTTGTGGACCAGCCTGTGCCAATGCCCTCGGCGCCATTCACCAGCACCATGGGTATAGTTGGTATATACCACAATGGCTCAATCCTCTGTCCATCATCCACTTGGTACTGGAGCAAGGGGTCATCCAGTGGATTATAAATGAGTCGCGTTAGCGGCGACATCAGGGTGAAAATGTAACGAGCACTTGCGCAATCTTTACCGCCAGCAAGGCGCGTACCAAACTGACCGCGCGGCTCCAGAAGATTGATATTGTTGGAGCCCACGAAATTTTGGGCCAAGTTTACAATCGTCATTTGGAGAGAGACCTCACCGTGATGGTAGGCCGACATTTCCGCAACCGAACCCGACAGCTGAGCCACTTTTACTTCACGCTTGTCGTTACGCTTGAAGCAGGTGAACATGACCTTGCGCTGGCCGGGCTTTAGACCATCCACCAGATTTGGTATGGAACGTTCATTGTCCGCATTCGAGAACAGCACCAACTCGAGATTAATGAAGTCCGAATAAGTGACAGATTTTGTGCCCTTGGTGTAGAGATAGCGTTCGGGAAGTCCCAATTGCTTGCGCCGCTTCACCTCATCCATATGATTGGTTAGCCATGTCTTACGCGAATCGACGTGCTTCTTCGCAAAGGCCATAACTATGTTGTCGTCATCAACCTGACCATCGTACTTGAATGTAATGCGATGACGGTCCATATCCTGGAAGTACTCCTTAGCCTCCTTGGAAGTTGAAGTACCCAAACCTTTGTAGTACTTTATATTGTACGTATGATGGTTGGGTGTGTCTGTCTTCCACTCCTCGAACTCGGGCAGTGAATAGAAGGAAATCTCCTCATTTTTTTTCGTTGCTTTCACAATGGGTGTGATAAACTCTTCGAGGAACGGTAGACGCAAGAGTTCCGGCCAATTGGTGTGTATAAAATTGATCAGCAGACCCTTGATGTGCGAACCGTCCTGATCCTGATCTGTCATGATCATGACCTTGCCATATCGAAGTGTTTTCAAATCATCCATGGTCAGGTATTTCTTCTTATACTGCAGACCAATAATTTTGCACAGATTATTGATTTCGGCATTCTCTGTCAACTGCTTAAAGGTGGCCTCTCGCACATTTAACAGTTTACCGCGAAGCGGAAATACGCCATAATAGTTGCGACCAATCACACCAAGACCGGAGACAGCCAATGATTTGGCTGAGTCTCCCTCGGTGAGGATTAGGGTGCACATAATTGAGTTTTTGCTGCCCGCCTCGTTCGCATCCTCCAGCTTGGGTATGCCCTTAATTTTACTCGACTTTTTGCCACCCGTCTTGGCGATATCGTTTTGTGCCTTGAATTTCGCCCAAGCCAGTACGGATTCAACAATTCCGGACTTGGAAACGCCGGCTATGAATTTATCAGATAGTGGGCACTTGGAACCGAAACTCTTGGCCTGCAGCGTCATGTTTTCCTTAGTTTGCGAGTCGAAGGTGGGATTTTCGATCAAGCAATTGATAAAGATCCACAGATGATTGCGCACCTGGAACGGCTTAATGTTGATGCCACCTAGAAAATATAGGTGACGGAGGTAAAAATGAACCAAGCTTTTATTTTAACTCCCTTCCACTTACCTTTGTTTTTCTTTTTAAGCACCTCAATTAATTGCTTAATCACATTGTCAACAACATGATCGACGTGTCGTCCACCTTTAGTGGTGGCAATGGAATTGACAAAGGAAACTTGCTGAAATCCACGATCCGATGGGCAACAGGCAACCTCCCAGCGCTCATTGCAGGATTCATAGACAATCTTGATCGGTTGACCAGCTTCATCATCCTTGTTCTTAACATACAAATCAATGTAGTCCTTGAAATTCTTTATAGTCAACTTGTTGCCATTCAAGTATACAGCCACGCCTTTGCTTGAGGCAGCTATATCGTAGGCGCGACGCGACATTAGAGCCACAATGTCATCATCAAGTTTTTCCATTTTGAATTTCTCCAGATCAGGACTGAATGTAATGCGTGTAAAATCCGAGCCACCAAAATCTTTAATCTATAAAAGAATAGATATTTAAACATATGAAATCATAGAACAGAAATTCATTACCCACCGTAGGATCGCTGGTCTTAGACATGTTACCGGCCCAAGTTTGCTTGAAACTGCGTTTATATTGCTTAGTTGCCGTCTCCACAGTGAACTTGGTTGAGAATATGTTGCACAATTTGGCGCCGTAGCCATTGCGGCCGCCAGTCACCTTCTTCTCATCATCATTGTAGTTGGATGAGGTCAACAGATGGCCGAAAATCATGGTGGGCACATACATTTTCTGTTCCTTGTGCATGGTAACCGGTATACCCTGACCATTGTTCCAAATAGATATTGTGTTCTTTTCCGCATCGATGTCGATCTTAATGGTGTTCATGGATTTATCGCGTTGCTTATTATCAGCCGCATTTACCAATATCTCATCAAAAATTTTGTAAAGTCCCGGCACGAATGAAATCTCTTTTTGGAGCATGCGACTCTTTTCAAAATCATAAATCCACATCAGCTCCTTAGTGTATTCCACGGAACCAATGTAGGAATCGGGTCGCAGCAAGATGTGCTCGAGTTGCGACTTTTTCTGATACATTTGTTCGATGGACAAGCCACCGCCGCCCTTGCCGTTCTCCATCATGCAGCTGTTGTTGTTGTTGTAGCTTCTGTGATTGTGCTAAAAATAAAAATGTAACAATTTGTAAAATGTTAATAAATTGGTAACTAAACCCAGCGCGTAACTGTACAAAATATTCATACACACATATGTGTGTAACGACTTAAAGAAAAAACGTTTAATTTGCTTGGCGCGCACACACAATCAAAGACAAGCGAGAAGCGCGCGCAGAGCGCTGTGTTTAACAACCCTGTGCTAGCTTCGTGTAGCGTGTGGCACTCACACACACACATGTTAAAGCCGGTTGCGAACGACGCACATTTAAATTGTGGTCTACACATTTATTGCCAAATTATATAAGCCAGGAAGGTTTTCAATAATATTGCCGGAGGTTTACTTATTTATATATTGAATGATTTATTTGTTTTCATTCCAGCGTCTTTATGCTGTACACTACAGCCATTCACAGCTACCACCACGTTTACATGTTTGTATGCATGTGTGTGTCGGTGTATTTCGAGTTTGCCGGCAGTGGTCAAAAGTTGTAAAATACAACATATTAACACAATTTTGATTAGCGAATTAAGACAACAGCTGCACATCTGCATGAAAGTAGCTCTTTTAGGCATGAGGAGCTCGTGGTGAGGTATAGAAAAGATCTGCAGAAATTCTATCTACACATGCATCGCCATTTTTGATTTTATGTGAATTTAATGAGACGACGCTTCTCACACAATTTTTGCATCACAAAATTGTACGTATACATACAACTATGTAAATGTGTAAGACAAAATAGCCCGGATATATAGAAAATTAGCACCTGGTTCAAAAATGCACTCACCTTATTAATTTGTTGCAAAGTTACAAGAAAATTTCGCTCCTTGTAGACGCGTTGCGAAAATTGCAGACAGAGACGCCGCACTGCGCTTTTTGTTGTGGCGTGTGCGTCGTCGTTGTTCCTTCTCGTGCTGCTGCGGCTGTTGCACGCACAGCAACTTATCTTAGTTTATATTTTCTTAAACCAGAAACACACAGTTAAACATTGAAATTCGTTAAGACCTTACAACAATAAAGCAACTTGTGCTACGCTAGCTGCGATTTCAGACGCAATGGCCACATTAAATTGTTTAACAAATAATGTGGCCAGCTTATGTGACCAGTTGGCGTAAGTGCAATAGAGATGGAAAAAAATACCCGCGGTTTGTGTTGAACGGTCACATAATATTTTTGCTTAATTCACCTAACTCACCTCTGGCTCATTTATTCACCTAAAGCGGTGACTGTTAGCAACTATCGACTGGCTGTGCATTTAAAATAATAAAGACTTTTGCGTTCTAAAAATAAATGCTTTGTTTTTGCATTTCCACTTCAACGATGCAGAATTCGCTTAGCGTGAAGAGAATCCATATTATCGAATTGCTTATATGGCCAAACAGGTTACATTGCCATGCGCTTGACCTTGCACAACGATTTCTTTGTGCAAAATGTTGTGATAGGTAAAGGGAACGTTCCACAATACCGGTTCGACTATAAATTCTTTTCAATACACTGTAATCTAGATCATACTTTCAGTTTCTATATCCATTCCTCTTACCTATAAATTTAGAAACATTTTATCATTGATTATTGGAGATTTAATGGGGCGATAGTGGAACAATAATTTATGAATAAGATTTGATGCATCAAGAAAATTTACCAAAATTTTAAAGTTGTCTTTAGAGGGGCTAAAAAGGAAGGTAAATGGCTAGACAGCAGGGAAACATTTCTGCCGATAGCTGTTAAAGTAGTGGAATTAGGATAGAATGTGCTTCACTGAGGTAGGAAACTCGGTGTTGCAGAATTGTAGTAGGGATTAGTGCTTGAAAATAGGTAAAGGAATTTATGTTGAAAATGGGAAATAATTATAAACAAAATCTTGAAGGGGTAAGAAACTTAGTGCAAAAGAATGCAATTCACAAAATTTAGGATACCAATTTATGCGGGACCATAAAAAGCGCTGATATTCACAAAACTTCTAATATCAATTTGTGTCCAATTACAATGATAGCACTAAGATGAGAAAATACATACAAGTACATATATGTATACTTTAAAATTTCGCTTCAATGTAAAGTTGGAACGGAGAATTTTCTCATCATAGCGAAGAAATTTGTGTGCCTTAAACATTGTAAACAATTCAATATAATTTGTTCAGTTTCTATTCAAATGCAAACTAAAATATGTAATGTAAAATATGTAAACAGTAGAGGCAAGTTTAGATTTTAAAGAAGGAGAAAACAAAGTATACGTTCGAAAATGAAGAAACCTCATTTATACGTACAGAGCATACAATGCATCCTTATACATTATTGTAAATAGTTGTAAATAGCGAGTGCATGTGACAAAAAAAAAGATAAATTAAAGGGTATACTTTTGTCGGCCGCATAACAATTCGTTTTAGCTTAAAGACCTTGTATATGGAAAATTGATCAACTCTTCAGAAAGCTGTGAATAATTCAACAATTTTGATCTTCACAATTTGGCGGCAATATTCCAAAAATGGATCGCCCCTTAAGTATAGGTCAGTTGCAAAAGAGCAGCCGCCCACTCGACTTGGAGACACACTACATATAATTAAAGCGCATTGAACTTGCCTGGCCATTCTATCTCGCAGTTTTAAATGCTCTCTGACGGCAGTGACGGAGACTCCAAGTTGCTCCAAGATGTTCATTTTGCTTTGCCTCCATCATCGTCATTAACCCCCGATCGACTGACTGAATGTTCAGTTCAGTTCAGCTTCATTTCAGTTTCACTCTCGCTTGCAGTTTTTTCCTTACACTCTTCACTCTTTACCGTTCAATGTTTGCTATTTTAATTCAAGTTGGGGTACGGCTTTTTTTCGCTTTTGTTCTGACAGCATCAGCTTAGGCGCTAGTGAGGGGCTCATAAATGCCGCGTTCTAAACGATCTTCTGCTCAGTTTTAACGCGTACTTTTGCGACAACGCACTGGCAGTTGCCCGTGCTACTTCAAGTTTTAATTATACGAGTATATAGAATTGCTTACATTCATTATTGTTGCTATTTGTTTGTAAGAATTGAAGCAGCACGCGTGATAACCAACAATTAAACGCGTGTGTTTCTGTGTATGTTCTGAAACAACCATTTAAAGATTACGAGTGCTTGGTAATGAGAAACACTAATCTATTGCATTAAGAATCAGATTTCATTTCCCCCTAGATAACATAAACAAAAAATGAAAAAAATATATAATATACAGCAATGTCAATTAAATAAAAGCAATGTTATGTTTAATATCGAAACAAACACGTTGAGTAACTTCGTTCTGAAACAAACCCGATTGGATTGACCTATGCCAGCCAGATAGTGAGAGTAATACAATTACTGGTTTTGTGCATCTTATTCTGAATCATAAGCTTTAACACAGCTTATACTAGTATGTATGAATATACTTTGTATACAAATCATATAATATGCAAATCATGCAATATGGTTTCGGGATGAGAAATGTTTACTTTTTTGTTACAGTTCGAATATTATGCGCATATACATATGTATGTAGTTTTATTTTGAGTCTGTGTGTTATATTCATTCTATATGACAATAAAAGACATCAAATAAGACATGACACTATGAGCTATGCATTCTTAGATATCATTTCAATTTTTCATAATAAATGTATTTCCGGAGAGGTTAAATAATTCGACAATTATATTTAATAAAGCGTTTGCAGTTTTAACTGAGCGTCAATAAAGTATATACAGAATAAAAATCGACAGTTTTTAACATAAATCTTAAATTAATTAATTTTGGATATCCTTTTGGTGTTTCACACCTAGAAGGAAGAATGGTGTTTGTCCGTCTGTTCGTTTATTTGTTCAATCAGAACTGCTCCCTACTTAGAAATAAATTTTCTAAATGCAAATACCAAGAAATGTTTTAAATTTATACATATTTTTGTACCTTTCACTGATGTGCTATTTAGTAGATAATATACATTTTATGATCAGCATTAAAAGACGAATCCAAATCGCGATGTCCGTCTCTGTTTCCATCATTACTTCTCTTATAGTTTTAGAGACGCCGCAATGAAACTTTATTTGCAATGAAACTTATTTGCCGCACACAGTCGAGATGGAAAATGTCACATCATTTTAGCTCTTATAAAAATAATATGATTTAAAAATAACTTTTGTATCGAAAACCCATCTATTTCTAAAGATACTGCAACCAAATGATAATTTTGTAACTAATTGTCCGAAGAGAGATACGATAGTGTGGAAAGAGTTGGTTTGCATCCAACCAACAAATTAAAATGCCAAAAATTGTGATTTATTTAAGCACTTTTCAAGCGTAATACTAATTCAGCGTTAAGCCAAGCCTCAAAAGTAGTAAATTATAATGTTGTATTGTTGCTAATTGCCCTTTTAGAATAATTGCGTTTAGTTTAATTAAACATGTTGCTCTGACAGATATGCATATATTTAATAGGAATTAATTGTGAAAATGTTAAAACACATGCACATGTATCTGTATCTTACTATATAAGCCTGCATGATTGCAAACACTCTTGTGTATACATTTATATATAATCAAACTTATCAAGCAGCTCAGATTCCAGTGGAAATCAATATGTGTACGTATATATGTATGTTCATATGTACATATATATGTTGTAGGAACCAGCTGCATTCTCAATAATTATTCTTTCTGTGCTACCAACAAATTAGGGGCACTGCATAAAATTAACGCTTGCTCTATAAAACGTATAATTTATATTGCTATAAAGATTGTGACCTCTATTTACATATTAAGGGCTGGAATGCACACTTTTTTTTTAAAAAAGTACAACAATTTTATGAAAACCAAGCTGAATCACCTCTTACAGTCGGTTAAAAGGTACTCGTTTTTATACTCTATACATGAAATGTTCCAGAGTATATAACGTTTGCGGGACGTGAAAAATGTAACAGACAGAAGGAGGCGTGGCAGACCCCACATAGTGTATACATATATTCTTGATCAGCATGATAGACGAGTCGATCTAGCCCTGTCTGTTTGTCTGTCCGTCCGTATGATCACCTATATATCGGAGACCATAACAGCTAGAGACAATAGTTCAAGATGCCTTATGTGAATACGTAGACAATGCATATTTTGGAATATTCCTCCTTCCTCTCTCTCCCGTAATTAGTGATTTTCATTAACTCCACGCCTAGACTCACATAGACAAAATTCCTATGCTAATGTGCAGTTAATCACCCTTTACGTGAGTTTTCTTAATTTTTTTTATTTTTATAAGTATTCTACAAACGTGTACAGAGTATTTCATTGTCGCGACATCCGACATTAGCTTTCCACTCGTTTAACTATAAATCAATTGCTAATAAACCGTTTTATGTTTATCTTTTTTTCGAAATGATTGTAATAAGCAATTATATTTTAACTCCCTTTTTATAAATTAATTGTAGGTTTGAACGTAAAGTGTTTTCACATTAAACCCTTGGGGATGTCATTTGTTTGGACTGAGACCGAAAAGACACACATTGATTAACCGATTTTTTGTCGTGCCAGTAGTGTTTTATAGAAAAGCCCTCTCTGGCTTTAAAAAAGTAGGAAAATGTGTATTTCTCTATGGAGTCTGGAACATTTTTTATTGTACTTAGCAAGTGGTCCATCATGTTCCACGGTTTAAATTTTAGTTTACAATTTTTTATTTAATTTGTATATATATTTAATAACCAAATTGTAACATGAAATTTGGAAACCAACTTTACTAACTGAAGAAAAATGAAACCTAGCTAGGAATTACATTTAAATTTCATTTCATTGAACCTACTAAAAAAAAACATGCAATATCTAAATATAAATATGTGTTAGCTCCATGTATATAATCATTTGTTTATAAACCGGTACCTCGCCAATTAGATGACAAGCCTCCTATTTTCTTTTTATTAATTAATTTAAGTGGCAAGCATGTTATTTTTAAGATGCACTGCCTATTTGGAAGGGCAAATAATAAACATACAAAATAATGTAAATATTTTTCGAAATCTCGCTATAAATCGAACATCGAACAAGTCGAACGTTCCTTGGAATTATGATATACTCCCAAGTAGATTAAAAGCTAAATTAGCTTAACTCAGGTATATACCTAAATAGCTCAAGCGAAAATATAAAAAGAATAATCAAATTAGGTGTAAAATAAACGAAATTTTCAAATATACCGCGACTTTTGTTCCCTTGGACTTGCATCATTACATTATTAGTTTGTAGCCCTTTTATTATTCATTTTAACTAGCTCTGTTAACAATTACAAAATGAATATTTAAATGAACAATAACTAATTTTCATCTTTTAAGACATTATCATTATCATGTTTAAATATCGAGCATTAGACGCTGCTGTATTATTATTTTCTTATTTATTATTCATTTCAATAAGATAATGATAATTGTATGCAAGGTCGTAGGTAGGGGGGATAAAAAATTTTGCCATATAAAGTCGACCACACGTTCATTATTATGACACACTATTTCGCCTTAAAATTGATCTGATTTGGATTTGTTGAAGTTTTTTCATTGATCATACGCATAAGTTATTTTTTAAATGCATCGTGCCTTATTTAATCAAAATTTTATTTTTCTGGCCCCCCTTTGGTAAAAGCTGCCTACGCCCTTAAGTGTATGGATATTTATTTTATTTATAAACTTTTTTTGGTTTAAACATGAATATTTTTGGCAGCCCAAATAGCCCAAACATCCTCATCCGAGTAAAATGCATAGGCACACATTTTTGAGGTTATTTGGGTTAATATGGATTCCGCATCTATTTGCAGTAATATTAATGGTTGGTTAGAGAATAAGTACAATTGGCATTCTGAACTGTAGACAATTGAACTGCAATGCTCATTGGCCAGCCCCAGCTAATTAGACAAAGTTGGTGTTAATTGGTTATAAAGACCGACACGACCGAGATGCATTGCTCGAAGCTGCGGTTCCATGCAAAGTGCATAGTTTTAAAAGCATTTCGCAACTAATTAGCAGTTGCATATCTATTTATTTTTGGTGCCTAGCCGCCAATGCCAAAAATAAATATTGACCAATGACAATGCTGAACTTCGATCCAAGCTGGAGCTGTGGGAGTCACTTTCAAGTTCTCGTTTAAGCGTTAAATATTGTTTAATTTATCACGTGTTCAAAAATTGCTGCACTTCGAATGCCTTTGATGGTGCCCGTTGACCCGATTACGGGTGCGGCCCTTATCAAAAGTACTATATGAGAATATATAGTTCAAGGCATTACGATTATCTTGCTGAATATGTGCATATACATATGTATGTACATACATACTCGTATGTATTGGAGTATATAAGATTGTTTTTTGTATAGTGCTCTCTGTTTTGTTGCGCCCACTGCTATCGCGCTGTTGTTGTTGTTGTTGTTTATAATGCTTATTTAATAAAACATATGTATGTAATAAATACTGTGCATGGGATTGAAAACATTTGGCTCGATTAAATTTGAATCGCAGTTTGAAAACTGAAGTCGAGCAGAGCGCGCGGCATTTACATTTCCATTTGGCCATACCAGTGAATAATAGTTGTTGTTTAAAATTCGCACTATAATATAAATAACTTGCGAAATGGTAAAAATTTAACAACTGAGTCACCATTATAGACAAGCGATAAAGAATACACACACACATATTTACATTTACATACGTTTGCTCGATGGAAAATCGAAATCAAGTTTCGTTCAATTCACAATTTGGCATTTTCAATGTCAATGTCAATGCTAATGTTAATTTACAGTGGCAGCGCAGTTTTCAGGTTGCAGCTGCTAAGCGAAAATGTTGCCGGCACTGAGCAGCGCAACAAAACAAAACAAAATAAAGCCAAACAAAGCAATGTGAAGTGAAGTGCCTGCTAGACCACCACAAAAGCTAGAAACTGTGCAATTTAAAAAGAAAATTAAAAATTCATGTGTCTTTTTATTGCTAAATACTAGCAACACGTGAGCCTAATGATAGTGTTTAAGTGTGCTAACGTGCTATTAATTGCTAGCTTCTTCCTCTGTAATTGGAAAACCGTGTGAAAATGGGCCGAATCATCGATGGGGGCAATGATTCCTAAGAACGTTTATGGTGCCTTGCCATAGGTTCAACATATTGCTCAATGCCAGCAATGTCAGTAATCAGCTTTAGCAATACACACGAACACTCACACACCTGCTTATGACTGTAAATTTATCAAGTGGTGTATTGAAAACATTTTCTGTTCATTAGCAACATTGCCTACGAAACTTGCCGCTGGCAACATTTTCCATTGCCAGCTCCGACTAAAAACAATTGTGGATATGTTGTTAAGTATGAGCTGGCAGTAATCGTTAGTTCGTTATGAAACTTTTATGTTTGATTATATAATTTTATTTATTTATTGCATCAAATTTCAATTCAAAAGAAAGGAATATTAAAGTGTAAGGGTTCTTTCTTATTAGATTGTATCCGTGTGTACGAGTCTTTACACTTATGTTGATGTTTTCCGATGTAAAACAAGTCCCAATGTGTTCAAAGCTTTAAAAACACATAAATAGCATAAAAAAGGAAGATATAATAAAAATTTCTTAGAGCCGCACAACTTTATGAGAAGTTTACTGTGATTCATTGAGCAGTTGACTAAGTTGATTAAGAACCTACACTCAGAGAAAACACGTACATACTAAGTATTTTTGTTCGAAGCCCAAGTACCGACGACGAATGTATCTACTTGCTTTTGTAGGTATCCAAATACTTAATAATAATACACCTTTTTAAGTAGGTTTGTGTCTTAATGATAGTATTGAGTTTAATATAGGTCTGGTGCCGTGGTTACCATTATGTCATTTGTAATTAATAAAATATTTTTCTTCCTTCTATATTCATGTTTTTCAATGATAACTTTTCGCGTGCATTATATTTATGTATGTTTTCTGCTATTACTCTTCTATATTTACATTATATTGATAAATATAAACAAATACGTAGGTCACAAATATTGATATCAATAAATAAATAGCCCAACAGATCTAAAGTGCACGGTGGGCGTTTATTTCATCGGCTTGTAAGTACTTTGTAATTGAACCACAAAGCCGCTGAAAATCCACTTGGGATTTTAGTAAGCTTTTATCTCTATTTTACATTTAACGTCGATTCATAGTCCGCATTTACACGATGGGTTTTACTCAAAAGTAATTGCGATTGCTTGCGCTTCTTTTTTTTGTTGTTTCAGAGTGTTTTTTCCTCAATGTAGGCATTTTACTGTTCTAATTATTGCCAACATATTGGCAATCAATTAATTATTCTACTTGCTTACTATATTCTAGAATGCCTTTTGTGATTTTTTATACAATTAACAAATATAATATATATTGAACGTTGTTTATATATAAATTTATTATTTATGTATTTATATGTATTGTTAACAATATATATAAATATGTATATATATATATATATATATATATATATATAATATACATAAATATATATATAATATATATAAATATATTAACATATTCGCAAGGGTTTTTATTACATATTCTTAATCAAATTTCGTAAAATAATTGCATGCAATTTATCCCTCACAAAAATCTATTTAACGTCTATCGGGCTATCTTGAAGAAAACTCAATTTTGAAAATAATTATGAAGGAAGTAAATGGCCTATATTCATTTACAATCGGTCTTTAATTTGTGATTATATTTTTCACTAAGTGTTCCTAAACTGATTGCAAAAACAATTGCGTATTATGTAGCCAAGGAACAGACATTTTCTCTGAAATGCTTCAATTGGATTTGGGGAACAAATGTTTCTTCGGTTGGTTTGTTTCTAACGTAAGAGTGATGTCATTGCCTGTACGTTAAAGAAAATAATACTATTGCTGATTAAAATGTGAGAGCATATGGTTTCCAGAACAACTGATTCCATAATTTCTAGAATATTTTTCAGATGAAAAGAAAATATGCAAATATGTTTTTATAAGAAATGTTTGGGGCGATTTTTTCTGTATACAATATATAAAGTGTTGGACTGATTAATAATTGTATTAAAACTCTAGTCAATAATTAAAAATAAAGTTCAATTTCCTAGATTAATTTGGCAAGTTCGCGTTAAATAATGCAGGCCTGGATGTTAAAAGATAAAGTGTTAATATTTGAACACCTTTTCTGATATTAGCAGGCAAATTTTGAAGTTTTATTTAAACCTTTTATCATAATATTTAAGTATTTTAATTTCAATTTGTTTTCTTCTATCTTTTATTGCTATAGTTTTTCATCTTCACTTCTTTTTTGATAGGTCTAATAACGTATCTGACTACTCTCTGCTGTGAATCGGGACATAGCTGGCTGTTTGGCAAATAAAATTCCCCCACCGTGTCGGATTCGTTATTAGATATTTTTGTCATTTTTATAGGCTTTTTTATTTCTTTAGTTTTATGTAGTTTAAATAAATAAATAAAATAATGCTGTCATTAAAATCAAAAAAACCTCTGAAAATAGTGACATTACAACGATTCAGTATTTGTTTTATCAGTTAGAAAAAAATCAAGTAAATCGATATATACTTGTATATAACTGGTTTCAAAGTTCCCTTATTCATTTCAAAACTAAATCAATACCGGCAATCAATTCCTTTGCAGGCCAGTGAGCACAGCATGCCTGCCATTGAACACAAGCTGAACCTCAGCGAGGAGGATGTTCCAGCGAATATACGTGTCATAGCGGAGAAGCAAGGAGAATGCGAGCAAAGCAAAAAGGAAATTATAGAACAATTTCGCAGTTATATTCTAGGTAGGTCTCAGATCACTCAGCAGTTGCAGAATTTACGAGTGTATGTATTTGAATGGCCACAGAACACAACGAGTGCCAACCCTATCGCAACGATGACAAATATTTGGAGAAGTTTTTGAGGGCTCGCTACTGGAAAATAGAGAACAGCTACAGATTGGTGAGAACAGCGTGATTATCATAGGAGTACTCGTATTTCTATTCATTTCTATACCAGCTCTGCAGTTACTATAAATTCCGCGAGCAGAACAAGAACTACTATGAGAAGGTGCGTCCACTGGACTTGCGCCATTTGGGAGACGACGATATATTGACTGTCACGCCCTATCGTGACCAGCATGGACATCGCATACTCATCTATCGCTTTGGACTGTGGCGCCCGAATCGGGTGACTGTCGATGACATCTTTCGTGCCACCATTGTGCTGCAGGAGCTAGGCTCCCTGGAGCCGATCTCACAGATTGTGGGTGGTGTTGGCATCTTCGATTTGAAGGACTTGTCTTTTGAGCACATTCTGCATCTCAGTCCGGGAGTGGCTCAGAAAATGATTGCTCTGCTAGTGGTAAATTGAAGCTATTTTAAATTGTTGCTCGATAGTTATTGTGTTCATCTGTTTTTGCAGACTTCCATGCCAATACGCACGGCCGCCTTGCATATAGTCAACCAGAATTGGATGTTTAATGCTGCCTTCAAGATTTTCAAACCCTTCTTGAATGCTTCTATGCGGGAGCGTCTCTACATACACGGCAGCGATATGAGTTCCCTACACAAGTTCATCGATCCGGAGCATTTGCCAAAGCGGTAGGTAGAAGGGTGTTCTTTGTTCTTTTAGTTCAGGAACCCAATTTGGGAATTCTTTTATAAGATATATGAGGTTAGTTACTAGCAATAGCTTGATGTAAACGTACAGTTTGTTGATATAAGCTCTAAAGTGACAACTAATCTAATCTAGGAAATGATACCAATTTCAATTAGCCATCCAGAAATCAAATCATTGGCTAAGGAATAAAGGAAAGTAGACTTTAATAGATGCTTCATTCTTATACATTCTCTTCGGGCTTGAATAAACCGAGATATTTGAAACTCCTCATAAATAGATATTATTTTCGCCTAGTGAACACTCTAGGTTCAGATAGAATAGAATACATAAAAGCTCACAATCTATAGTTATTGTATATGTAGAGAGTTTTAGTCATCTCGCGAGCATGGCGTTATTTTAAAGCTCGTAATGCCAAGAATTCATCTATGATTAATCATTTTCATGGATTATTTGATTACAACTATTGACAAAGAATGTGTCAGAAACGCATCTACTTAAAAAGGGGCTACACTGAGCTCTTTAACTTAACCTTATATTGAAAAGGATCAACTTAAAGTAGAGTTTATTTTCTAAAAGATGTCCTTAATTCTATGGGAAGCCTGATCATTGTTTGTAGTTCTGTAGAGTCGAAACAATTTTGATCTAATTACCCCATTTACTGTTTCAGCTACGGCGGTGTACATGAGGACTATCCTTATACGCTTTGGCTGGACATGCTCCAGGAGCACGGTGGCAGTGTGCGGAAGGATATGGAGCAGCTTGGATTTATTTTTGATCAATAAGAAGCTTATTATAACTTTTATCTCTAGAGCGCTGTTTATTCTGAATAACTTAATGGCGTTCTTTTAATAATATACTAATAAACTGAAATTTTGATACTTTAAATTTAGTTCCTCTATATGGTATGCGGATCTAGGACTGCGCGTTGCCGCTCAGCGCATTCGCCGAAGGATAGTGAGAGCGGAGCAGCATGCAACGCTCCCGATCTGTCCAGAGTGTGCGACGCTTCAGCATTATCTCCCGTTCAAGTACCCCACGCGTCTTTATCAACTCCTCCTTGGTATGTTCAGCCTCGCCCAGTTCGTGGAGCATGGCCGACACGCTGCTCTGTATGGTGTGCACCTCATTGATGAGGTCCTGTTGCGCAATATCGCGGCAGTTCTCCACATTCGGACGGAAGCTGCGATTGTCCATGCGTGTTTGAGCCACCTTCATGGCGGCATCGAAGCTGCGTACTCGCCGATGTAGGTTCACAATACGTGTCTCCGTATCGGCCAGATTCTGCAGGACATTGCGCAAATCATTCTCGAAACGCTGCACCGCCTCCTGAGTGCAATTGATGCGCGCCGTGAGTGTCTTCTCCACCAAGTCTGCCTGCGTGCGGATGTCACGCGCCGCATTCATTAATATCGCGTTGAGAGTGGTACGTAGAGCGGCCGATTTCTGGCGGCACTTTTCGCACTCCTCGAGCGTTTCCTGGCTGAAGTGCTCCCAATACTTTTCCGATGCCTGCTCTGGCGGTTGGCGGATAGCGCCCGGTCGAAATAATATGGTCTTTGAGTAATTGTTCAGACTCAAATTGATGGTGTCGATCTCGTAGGCCTCTTTTTTGTCACTCCAATCGTACTCGAGACGCTGGCGCGCTGTCCTATTCTCCACCTGCTGCGCCTCAAAGTCCTCGAGTGTCTTCTTCAGCAGTCGTCGTATCTCGGCTATAAGCGCCAACTCATTGACCAGCTCCTCTTCGGTCTGATCGCGCACCAGCTCTGTGTCGGGTCGCGTACAACGATTCTCCAAACACTCCTTGGCTATGGACTCTGGCACGCCCAATACGACCAACGATTTGCGCAATCGTATGCGTTCCTCCTCCATGGTGGATATCTCATCGGCCATCGCCTTAGTGTGCATTGGGTAATTATATTTTAAACACGACTTCTGTTACCCTCACAACTTGAACTTACTTTAATGGCGTTTTCCAGGGTCGTCTTCCACTTCCCTATGAGCTGAACGCGCAGCCGCACTTTGTCATTCGTCTCGTTCTGTGTCTTGGTCACTATGGCCGAGAGTCTCTGGAACTCAGTGGCGGCACTGAAGCGGTTCCTGGAATGGCCATTAAAGTTACAGATTGCCGCGATAAAGACTTTAGCCTTTATCCATGCTGGTTGTTTTTTTAAAGCCCACCCCTCTTTAACCTACATATATAGCCCTGAACAACCACTTACTTGTCCGCTTTGTCTATCACCCCATTGACTAATTGGACTGTCTTTTGGTTTCTGGCGCGCCATTCGTTGGGACTGTAGCGCGTTATGGAGTAACGATCGGCCACGGGTCGGGTGCCTGTGAGGCCCGCCATTGGACTCCAATCGACTTTGCCAGTGGCCCAGGGTCCAATGGGTCCCATCGGGGCGAGCTGATCCTTCTGTGGCAATTCGTCACCCGCCTGTGGCAAATAGCAAGGCGGATTGTGCAGATCATCTGCATTGGGATCGATGGAGCGCTGTGGTCACAAAGCATTGGAATTAGGTGGCTTAGCCGAGGGATATCTATCAATCCTCGATAATACGTACGGCAAACTGCACCTCCTCAGTCTTGAGCGGACCGTACGCCTCCTGATACTGGCCACGACGTATGTCTGCGATTTGCTCCTGCTGCTCATCCACGCCCATCTGTAAGTCGTGATTCATCCGCTGCTGCTCCGTCACGGGTCCCACCACATTCTTTTGGATATACTGCTGTTGCATGGCATGTTTGGTCTCTGGCGAGTGTGGTGCCACCGCCACCTTTGCCGGAGTGGGTTGAACAGGTAGCCGGCGCGGTGGCGGATCCGCCGGAGGAGCGCAAACTGGAGGTGTCGGGCAGGTAGCCCGCGGATATAGCTCTATTTTCTGGTGGCCACAATCGCCCTGTCCCATATCCTCTTGCTTACAACAAGATGCCATTTTAATTATAGAATTGTTTCAAAATTTAAATAATTTTTTATAATTTCACGTTTTTATTTATTTGTTTATATTTTAACTGTGTGCGGAGTCTGCAGTTCAATCAATATCAGAAAAGGAAAATGTAATGAACGTTGTTTGAAAGATATAAACACGAAGCCGGGTTGCTTAGGTTGCCGGCAAAACAATGAACTACCTTCTCAACCCTCTCCTGGCAACGGAAGGCACAAAAACTTGAGAGTGAAGTTTAAAAACTAGAGGCCTAAATGGTCTAATGATATTGCAGTTGATTAAAAGTTTCAAATAAATATTGGAAGTTTTTTCTGAGCTAGGGCTCGTAACGATCTCTAACAATCTTTTTTAGAAAGTAAGAAACGAGCTTCTGAGTTTATCGCATTTACTTATATTTGTAAAATTTAGATATGACTAATAATTTTTGAACATAACTTAGGCTGAATTAATTCTTTGCCATCTGATTAAAGAACATGAGGGAGAACTGAAGCACATTGCTGGGCTTGTAACGCAGCAGGTTCAAAACATAGTCCTGCATTAGATCGGCCAGTTCGGGATGCTGGGCCAAGTATTTGGTTGCGTTCTCATAGCTGAGTGGCCGTAGGTTTTTAAATTGTTTGGCCAACTTCAGATCTTGGCGCCACATTAGTTCCAGCTTTGGTGATTTGGGCTCTTTGGGCTTAATCGGCCCACAAGCGGAATGCAGCAGATAGTTATAGCCGCGCCAGAAGTGCATTATAATGTGACCCTCCGGGGTCATAAAGGTCTCAGCCACATCCTGCAGCTCATCATTGAAGCACTGCTGGTTGATAATGTGTACAGCAAACTTGTAGGTGCGATGAAAGATGCGGACCAGCTTGCGCTCCTTTCGCACCACCAGATTGCAGCGCAGGACCCGTCCAAAGAGATTCATCGTGTAGTACTCGTAGTTGCCGACAAAGTTGTTGCAAATCAGATGGCGCATGAGCAGCATAATGCCGCCATCGAGCACGAAGACGTGATCACGATCCTTGATGTCGATCGTGGACTTAAACTTTTGGCTCTCTTCGTTGATTTTTGTCTCTCGCACGGCCGTGATCAGCAGATCATCGTGATTACGTAACTCTAGAGACTTCTCGACCCTCGCATGGTCCACTCGATCGAATTCCGTGCGCTTCTCACAGATCAGCACAAACTTATCATCGTACTTCCCCTGCAGCTGATGGCCACATTCGGTGAAGCCCTTCCCCTTTCGCATTTTGCTGCTGCTGTGCACCACATAGCCGTCGAGGGCCTCCTCCACATTCACACAAAACTTGCCCACCTGTTCCAGTTCGCGTTCAAAGAATACCTTGATATTCTCGCTCAGCTTGCAGTTCGTGTTGCGCAGCTTGGAGATGTACAGCTGCTCCTTGAAGATGATCGCCCGCTTAACATGCAAGAACTGCTTCGGATTTATCTCCCAGTGGCATCGATGGAACTCTTCCGAGGAAGGCTCGATCGGACGCAATAGCGCTGATATAATACTCGAGATACTGATCTCATCCTGGGCGCTCAGCTTATCAGGCAGCTCGCTGCTATCTGTTTCAGAGGGATTTTTGTACGGTTCCGCGACTCCCTCACCATCAAGTGGCAAAAATAGAGGAGGGTTTAGTGTAACAGGTTCACAAAATGATTTTGTATCTGTTCAATACACAATTATAGTAGGGGTGTAGAAATCAAGGTTAAGATAAAACTTACCCATTTTTTGAATTATAAAATTATTTTTTTATTAGTTAGGGTATTAAATTTTGGAGCTCTAGACAAATGTCCTAACGTTTGCTGCGATGCCTAATTGGTAATCACAGTAGTGATTTCTACAAAAACTTCAGACTTGTGAAATTTATTGTAAATTTAATTGTAAGAAGCCGTTTTCTCGAAAACTTTTCTATTTAATTAGACGTATTTCCAAAACATTGTAACTAACTTATTTAGATTTAAATGCATTTAAAGAAATAATTATTTATACAACAATGATAGACGGCTTGCCTAACATTGCTTGTAACACTTACGAGTAGAACTGCTTTTGTAATTTGAGGTTAGGCATAATAATTTGAGGTTAGATTTACCATAAAACTTAATGTGGAGCACACACCATCGACTCGACCCACAACCATGGCCATAAGAAGACAAATCAATGGCCGCACAAACCAAAAACGACTGCTTCCAATACCCAATACCCGATAAAATAATACATACTCGATTCGTTTGTATAAGAGGCGTCCGAGAATCAAATCCAAGGACAAGGCAGCAAAGGCAAATCAAATGAGGAAACGGCCACATATGGAAATTTGTTCCGGTCAAGGCAGCTGGGGAGGGTGGTGGGGGGCGTGTGGATGTAACAACATGTTCGTTTTATGTGTTTTATATGCAAAGATGTTAGGTGCTAGCAGGAAACGACTGTACGCTCTGATTTGGCTTTATGGTAATTGAGTGTTGGACAACGCATAAAATGCAGCCAGAGCTGGCCCCATAAATATTTTTGCGCTCAACTGCAGCTGGCTCGTCCCATTCACATCTATATATACTTATACATGTGTGTGTATGTCCTTCGTTCTTCTGACCGTTACAAATATGTTTGATATTTTTTATTGAAAATGTTCCCCCACGCTCTCCCGGTCGCACAGGAAGTTGTGCGAAATGTCGCGCCGGCTTGTGCCGAAGCACAAACAAACACCAAAAAAAACAAGTTGAACGCTTAAGTCACGCATGACCTACTCTTGTATACCCTTTATTCCATTGCCAGTACTTTTATTATCCTTGAAGTAAAGCACTCGCTCCTGTGGCAGTTATTACATATAGGAATTATTTAAAATTCTTCATATAATATTGAAAGTGATATCATTTAGCGATTGTTCTTATAACAGATACACAAAATATTTATTTTTCATCTCCAATTGTTTTCATTGAAAAGATCTCGAAGGATAACATATAGATGTACAGATGAACAAGTTCATATTGTTTAATATATAGTATAACCGTTTTATTTGGTTCCTAATGCTCATAATATATATATACTATACCTATATACCCTTTCAACCGCCGTTTGCAGGGTATAAAAAGTTGACCATTACTGCCCCTTTTTTGTAGAGCGGTTGGCCAGCGATAGTGAAATTGATTTTGATGCCAAGGGGGGTTCAACAATTCATATAATCTGCAATATGTTGGTATGTGTGCGTGTATAAAAAGCAGTGTCATTTGTGCGATTAAAGCGACAAGATTAAAAAATTTATTGCTGAAATATTTATGGGACAGTGGCACAGACGAAAAAGAAATAAAAGGACATCCCAATACTGGACACACAGCGCGTTATTAGCTTTGCTCGGAAAATCGAAGACAAGCGGTAACACGTGCTGTTGTCGTGAGGGAAAGTTCTGTTTTGTTTGTCTCAGAGCTGGGAATAATTTATGGCAATTTATAAGAAACTGTATTGAAGGGTCGACTATCATTGCTGAGCTTAAAAGTTCTATAAACTTTGACATTGCCTCCATTCTTTATCAATTGAAATACAGTATTTGTATTTCAGAGCATATTTAATCTGGGATATTTCTACATATGCCAAGGATGAAGCGAATTCATTAACAAGTGTTTATTTCATACATTTTCATTGTTCTTAGGGCTTGGCCAGAAGGAAGGTAAGTCCCACTTAAATCTTTATTTGATATTATTGTAGTTTTTAACAGTTTCAGTTTTCACTTTGTATGTTTTTTTCTGTAATACTATATGTACTATATACCCTTTGTTCACACAGTTTATAAAACAAGAATCAATAAAATTGTGGAAAGCGGTTTTACTTTCATTTCGGATGGAGTTTCGCAAAGAAAATTGATGTGCTCCATTACGACTTTTGCGGGAGCTGTAAAAGCTGGGAACTACCAGTATCATAGCTGGTCTATACTTTACAAAAACCATTCCTGTCACTTAGGATATATCTATAATTATAATTCTTATGGGTCCTTCGGTTTGATTAGTTGGCTTATCCGGATTGGTTTGCTTACTACATAGCTCCATAACTCTGCTAAACTTCTTAACTGTAGGATCACAGGACTAAGGCAAAAGCTGACATCCTTACATATATTTATATAAATCATCTTGTTTTTTGCTTAAAGGTTGCAAAAAATACCAAATTTATGTTTTATGAAAATATTACGATTTACACAAGAGTCAAATATAATATTCCAGAGTAAATACCTTTCTCAATAGTTTTATAATTTATTTTTGTGACGAATTCTTCCTAAACAAATCTTCTAGTCATCGATTTCTGCTACTTGCCAAAGTTTGCAGAAGAGTTCTGTCATATATTCGATTGTTATTGCCTTATAACTCCTGTCCATTGTTAAGCGCAATACCAAATGGGAATACTTGTATCTTTAACGTATAACCCTAAAAACATTATGATAAAGAGACCTGCAAATTACATAAAATGCAAAGAACTTATTAAGCGAACAGATCGGAAATACAAACTTTTCACAATTTGTTTGGTGAATAGAACTTATTATATTTGAATAAATGTGAACATAATTCAAAAAACGTGTATTACGAGTAGACTGGGTAGGATGTTAAGCTTAACCCTGACTATGCTAAAATAAATAAATACAAAATGAAGAAATAAATCAAACAAACGATTGCCCTTTCGAACATGTAACTAAACATTATTAAAGTTAACTACACCCTAAAGGATGCTCACAGGGAAGGTATTCCACTCAAGAACGGAAAAGGTGTTTTTAAATTGAATGGAAGTAATGAAGAGGTACGTGTGACTTTTTCAATTTCAAAGACCTACAAATATTGTCTCTTAATAAAACTTTTTAACTGACAATAGAAGACGCCACAATGCACAACGCAATAAGGAAGTTGGGAGAACTTTTTGCTGTTCGTGCTCAACCTTTTCAGCAGTTTCACCTTTCAGTGGATGACACCCACCCGGGACGTGCAACAAGTTTGTCAACTAACTAGACACCCTTTCGCACACGAAATTAACCATATTACACATACAACACATTTGTGGGCGTTGCCAAGTGCCGAGTGCTGTCACTCAAGTCCTTCGCCTGACATTTGACAGCGCACATACCTGACCTTTTGTCGCTTGACACTTCATTGCAACCCCGAATTTAAAGATTTTACCCTATAATTGCTGCATAATGAGCCCTATGAACCGCCACCACCACCACCACCACCACGATTCGTCTTTGCTTATCACTGCGCACAATTTATCATTTATTGGCGACGGCCTGGCCGAGGAAAAAGCAAACAGAGCTAAATAAATTATGGCCAACGATTTGTAAACAACACAAGACTGGGGTCAGCCCCGCACAGGCGACCACACAAAGAATACCCAGCCCGGCAATAATTGAAATATTTCCTGTCAATGTGTTGACTTCCGTTTCATTGCCCGAGCTCCTTCCGGTCTCTGGTCGCCGCCTCGAGGTGAAGAAGGTGTAAACGCTATAAATGGCGGCTCGTTATGGCCCTCGTTACACCAACGGCGCGACTATTTGCCCAACGACCGGTCACATCTGCTTGATAAATGACCGACAAATATTTCACAGGCTCTCTGGGTGGACAGAGAGCGCGTGCCAAAAGGAATCATTGTAGATTAAGGTCGATTGAGTTATAAATACAAGCACGACGGCGACTTATTTATAAGCCAGGATATACTACTTATGGACTTCTTATGGACTCTGATAAATTATAAACAAATGTTTTTATTTAGTTAAAATGAGAATTGTTCAATCTCTAGTTCTTATGTGTTACAAATCTATAGAAAGTAATAGAGCATGGAAGCCTAAAACCTCGGAAGAGCAATTATTATTATTTTACTTTTCTTACTTTTTAAATTGTTTATTTAATTTTGTTTTTGACAGAAAAAGTTGCCCACCAATTTTTTAATCTTTATAAAAGCCTCTTAGATATTTAGTTTGATTAGAATAGATTTAATTTGTGTTTCTAATACCTTTTTAAATTGTTCTCTTTAAGGGCCTCTTTTCGTTCATTTCTTGCTACATAAATGTTCTTCATTTGCAAATTCCTCATTATAAACCATACCCATACATATCAGCGTTATTTGAAAAGGAGTAGTTCAGTTAGTTCAATAATCCCAATAACGATCTAAAGATATTTTGAAATAATTAGTATCTCCATTAACAAAAAATAAAACCCAAATCATGGACAAATATTGCGTTATCCTAGGTAGATCTCTTGAATCTATAAACGTGACATTGTAACTGAGCAATCGAAGATTAAGAAATCGACCCCGATTCTTTCTCTCTCGCTCCTTCACCTACACTTGCCATTAAGTCTGTATCCTGTGCACTTCCTGTACAATTTTCACTGCCTACCCTCAGGCGCCCCACTGACTGCACTTTTGCACTCATCTGTGAATGTGAAGCTGAATGTAAATTGCCAGACGCTTGTCAACGCGAATCGATTTTTTGTTGTTGCTGTTGATTTTCCGCAAATTATTTGTGATAAAACACGATTTACTTCATGTTTAAAGTGCACTTGAGGCGGAGAACGCGGTGTGGCAGTGTGGCGCGGGGGATGAAGGGAACTGACTGTGAATCAATCACATCACATGCCAGGACGAACTCGCGTCTACTCGTATAAAGACAGAGCAGGCGATGAGAGGACCATGTAAGCTACAACTATGCGCTTAATGCTGCCTAATCCGGCGTAATAAACATTGTCAACGCGTGTAATATGCGGGATACGGAAAT